CTTCACCTGGGAATACCATTTCTCTGCAAACATTCTTGGTCTTTGTTGCTCTCTCTGGGTGAAAAGAGCTGAATAAGCACACCTGTGCTTTACTGATACAGCAGGTGACCACAAAAGCCACTGAAAACAACCAATTGCTTACCTGTAACTTTTGCTCTTCAAGCAGTTATCTGGTCAGACACTGCTGGTTCTTTACCTGTGCAGTACCTGGGAATCTGTCTATAGAGAAGGAGCTGTACTCACTCCTCTCGGGTACAGATCTTCATATTTCCTGTGCATGAGTAGAGGGGATGGAGGACAACCTTAGCAGTTTTCTTCCTACTAGGAAAATTCCAGGGCCCAAAAAGCCACAACATCATCGGCGAGAAAGGAGGGTGACTTGTGTGACTGCCCAAGGTGCTCACCCTAGAAAGTTATAGGTAAGCAACCTGCTTTCCTGCTTTGTGCAGTTCTACAACTGGTCAACTGACAAGCTAGCATACCTAGAGGTATGTGCTGAAGCAGATGCTGGAGAGCAGCTTTTCCATCCAATGTACAACACTGAATGAATGTTGGAAGAGTGGCCCATATGAACATCTTGGAAAGTTGAGAGAGACTCTTCGAGAAAAAGCAAGAGACAAATGGGAGGCTTCAGAGGAACATAAGAGCATCCTGCACAGTGGCCAAACAGATGCATATAGTAAGTCCAAAAGAAGGAGCTAAGCACAACATTACTCTCCCCTCCTGCCATTTTTTCCTGCTGGCTTTCAGAGGCATATTGCCTCCAATAGACACAGAGGATAGTCTTTATGGCTAGTAGCCACTGAAATCCTTCTTTTGGGAAGACAGCGGAGAGGGGGTGTTTGCCTATATTTTAGTTTTGTTTTGAAGTTGTAATTTTATTTTTTCAGAATTACTGGTATCTCTTATTGTCTGTTTTCATACAAAGCACTTACTGCATCCTTTTACGTGTCTGAGGGAAATAAGAATCTCAAATATAGTTGTCAATCATTATATAAAAATTATGTTTTTCAGATGCCCCTGGAGAGCCATTGGCTTGAAAAACCATCAAATTTATCTCCTGCACTTCTGGGCCAAGAGAGGTCTGCCCAATCATGTGATAGTCACATGATTCATGCATTGAAATGTATGGTGTGTTGTAGTCTCATTGCAGAGAAATGACGTGCAGAGTTCAGTGGAGTGGGAGGCCAACCAGAAGAGACTCTGAGGTGTACCTGCCTGGAGACAAAGTCAACATTCAAAGTAAAGGTCCAGTCCTAAAGTCAAGGAAACAGCAATCCATGTGGTCAGATGATCCAGGGGTCAGGGAATCTGATGATCAAGGGTCAAGATGAGCAGGAAGGAAGGTAAGGCCAGGAACTACAAGCATAGTTTCCAGCATCTGACTGCTCTCTGCTTAAGAAGGCTGAAGTCAGCTGGTTCTCATCGTTGCCTTTTCCTGTGTCCTTGAAGGCTGATCAGCTGCAGGTGGAGTCGCTCCGCCTTCTCCCCCTTCAGGCTGCTGTTCAGCAGGCGAAGCTGACCCCTGACCACGACATGGTGTGTCAAGTGGCTTCTTCACCCCTCTTTCCAATGTGTGATGGAGGGCTGAGAAGAGGAAGCCCAAGTGCAGAGCATTCCACACAAACTCTCAACCCAGAATGATCTGGGCGTATGCTTCCCATTCTCAAATGCCCATGCTCAACATGTTGACACATTGCCCCTTTCTACGCACAGATCCCCTTTTTGCATGATTAACACCTCAAAAGGGACTGATGTGCCTATTTTTTCTTACTCATTAGATGCCTTCCAAATGCTCACAACCAAATTCTAAGCGATAAGTGATGGGGGGGGGGAATGCAATATTATCCCTGCAACAGAAGCACTATGTTGATAAGAGTATGCCTGGAACCTGGAACTATACCTTTATTGTGTGAGAGGGGGAAATAATTGCCTGGAAAGACCCTCAGTATAATTTGCCTCCCTCCAACATATATATCTGTCCCGTTCTATCTACAGCACAGTGACACTTCCTCTAAATTTTCCAAGGATTCCATAGGGTTATCAGCAAATGGAGAAAGGCTAACTGATGGGTTGTAGTAGAAAGGGGGGAAACTGTGCCCTAACAAGAGGGGCCCAAGCAGAATATATGCCTGTCATGGGAAACCACTCTTTTCCCCAAGATGTTTTGTGTCCCCACATTTCATGCCCCTAAGCTACCCAGTTCTGTGTTACTACCAGCCTTCTAATTAAATTTTCTGATTCCTCCCAAAGCCCCCCAAAGTAGAAAGGAGGATAGCCTAGCACACATATGCATAAAATCATACTGTCTCTCTCAGTACCGGGGTCCTTCAACCCTCCCTTTACAGACTCCTCTCACATCTCTTCCAACTATACAATTCTATGTCCGAAATGTTGCCAAACAGCTAAGCATGTTCATGGGTTTGAGAAATGTGCTAGTTCAGCTCAATCTAGAATGCAGCAAATGGAGGAAATAGTTTTAATTGATAATGGAGAGATTATCAATTAATGGAGAGGCAAATCATAACATAACATAACACAGGCAATTGTGTATGGAAGACACTAGAAACAGTAGAAAAGAAACGAAAAGCTAACTTCTATAGACAAGCCTTACAATGGGGTTGTTATATGCCAGACAGTCAGTCTGAATTACACATTTTAGCAATCAGATGGACAAAAATTTCTGGTTGGAATACTGGCAGCATCTATAAGCAAAAACAAAAACAAAAAAACCAAACCATTCCTGCCCCACCCACAAAAGATCCCAGGAAAGGGCATATATATATTAGCCCCATGGGAGCTGGCTTCTAGGAACTGAACCAATTTAAGATGTTAACTTCAAGTCAGGTGGCCATGACCATTTTTTAAATAAAAAAATAGCCTTCACTTACTGTGCTAAAGAGATTTCCCAGCTGTGTTTCCTTAAAACATTAAAGAGTCTGGACTTGCCGAGTTTATCACTTCCAAGTGTCAGCCTCATTGATAAGGCAGGGGTAATTGGTTTGGGCCAGGGACGGTCACTTCAAAATGTACTGGCATCTCACCAAGTGATTTCCATAGCAAAGGACATTGGGCTAATTACCTGGAAATGCACATTTAAACCATCGCTTCCATATCACTTTCAGCTTACCTGCCTTTAGCACGGCAGAAGGAGTATGCATATTATCAACAAAAATAAAAAATAAAAACAGATCCTGAAAAAGGCATTTTTGTAACAGGCAGTGGGGGGAGGGCAGGGCAGGGCAGGGGGGAGCCAAGGCTGCATTGTGAAGGTAAGTTCACAGAACAATGCATGAGGAGGTTTCAAGGTGTGCTGATGTCATTCGTCTACACTGGACTTTATGGGATGCTTTCTCCACCATGAAGCTCTGCTATCTGCTTGCAGCACTTGCAGCGTAACAGTCCCTCTCTCCCCTTGTTACTCAATGATAGCAGCACTCAGGACACTAGCACACCACTTTCCACAACCACCGCTGCATGGATGCTGGCCAGTGAGTCCTTTCAGATATGTCCACCTTCGTAGTCTTCTGAAGAAGATCTGAACTTTTTCTAGCGGGCTCCTTTCTTCACTGAGCCTCTGTTCCCGTTAGAAAGCATTAACTTGAGAAGTCTAACTTGCTATAATTAGAAACCACCATTCTTGCACTTCCTTGATGGTTTGTGTGCCGTTCCTTAAAAAAATACCACAACACTCCCAAATCCTTTCTTTAAATAATCAGTTATGCAGCTTCCTCAAACATTTCCTATGTGGAAAAACATTTGCTTCCACCTTTCCCTCATAAGGGTCACAAGTTTATTACTCTCAAGTTCCATGATAATTTTAAGAATATTTTTAGGCCACCTTTCAGGGTAGAAAGTCCACGCAAGGAGACTTAAACAAATAGGAAGTAATCAAAACAACATAGGAAGCTGCCTTATGCGAAGCCAGAACACTGGTCCACCTACTGTGGTCTATGTTGACGGGCAGAAGCTCTTCAAGGTTTTTGGACAGGGGTTTCTGCCAGCCTTACTTGGAGATGCCATTCGGAGCTGGGACCTTCAGCTTGTGAAGGATGTGCTCTGCTATGGTCCTTCCCATAATCAGTGCCAGTTCCAAACACCACGATGTACCACCTTCAAATTTTGAAAACTAATTATTTTACTTCACCTACAGGACAGCTGTATACATTGCAAAGGGCGCAGTGCTGGCGAGACCCCAGCCGCCAATCATCTTAATTTGCTCAGAGGCCTCTGTTTAAATTAGCATATGCAAATTCGCATCATGGGCCTATGCCCTTGAAGCTTTTAAGAACCTAGAGGCGCCCCTGTATCTAACCCTCAGGGTCTGCAACTGCAGTCTGCTTCTAGCAAACAGCCTGACTGAAATGGAAGGACATCTCAAGATCTAATATGGTGTGCATTCACAGATGATTCTGGTTTTGCCACTTTATTATCATCATTCGCACTACAGCATACATTATAATTATTCCTACTTGCCTAGAGCAATAACAATTCTTTCCAGTTTACTAGAAAAACTGCTCAAACCACTTGGGTTGATATATAGGTACACATCAGCAGGTAAAACTCCTATTAATTGTATACAGAAAAGCTTGAGGAACAAATTATCAAAAAAGACACGACGACACTTCAAGGTCAGAAGCCAGAAGGCAAATAAAAAGCCCTTTAAAAAGAATTGTGATTTAATATATTGGTCATCCCACATTGTAGTTTTTCAGGTTTCCAAAATCTCACAGAAACCCATAATGAGAGTTATGATGCAAAAGGTCTGTAGCTTGTGTCTGATGCATTAGGCTCATATATGTACTAAAAATAAAATATCACTGTTCCAAAGGTTATTTATACTGAAAGCATCTTTTACAGTTAATTAAAATTTTATTCTCAAATATATCTTGAAAGCCTAATTTTTAAAAAGCAACCTTTTATTTCCCCCCCATCTTAGCTGCACTGAATGACTGAAACCTAGTCGAGGACCTTGCAGCTAAAATGAAAATATGAGCATGTTATTTCCACTTTTTACTGTGATGGCATTTTATATTCATCGTAAGCACCACGTTTTCAGTCTTGTCTTTGAGAAGATTGTTTGTCAACCCGTAGAAATAAGGTGATTGATGATTGAATAAATCATTAGGCGTGAAAAGAAGTGTGCTTGCAAAGGATGTGTCTGGGAGAAGAGACAGGTTGTCTCGGAGGCAGGAGAAGCATACTGTAAAAGCAGAAGGCGACTGTTGTTTCTGGCAAAGATTCAGATCATCTTCCAAGGACTTCTTTACGGCAGGAGTTTTCAATGTAGGACCATCCTCTGCAAGGGAAAATTCCTGTGGGTAAAAGGGAAACAGGAAAGCATGGCATGAATTCTAGGAAAGTTTAGGTCAGTTTAGGTTCTGCCAGTTTAGGTTCTCTGACAGGGATGGGGAACCAGTGGTGAACCTTCAGATGCTGGACTAGAACTCCCAACATGCCTGGCCACCAGCCATGCTGCCGGCTGGTGCTGATGGGACTTAGTAGGTTCTATGGATTCAGGAGAGAAACCAGAATTCAAACCATGTGTTTCTTGGCAACTTGGTACTATTAAATTCTGCAGAAAAGCAGTCATTTCATAACTTGTGGTGGTTGCTCTGCTAGAGGAGCTGGGCTAGAGGAGGAGGATGACCAAATATCCTCTGATAGACCCAGGATATATTCCACTGCGAGTGTTTTGTGGCTACTATGATGTTACTGGGTTACAAATTTATTGTTTCCACAGGTGTTGTTATTTACAGTAGCTGTCTGTACCAATACATCATCCTTGACACAAGCCTTGTTGGTTGCCTTTATGACAATTCACTCACCATCTGTGGTGTGTGATAAAGGGAATATTTTGCTGCATACCATACTAACTGTAAGTTATAAAGGTAAAGGGAAAGGGACCCCTGACCATTAGGTCCAGTTGTGACCGACTCTGGGGTTGCGGCGCTCATCTCGCTTTACTGGCCGAGGGAGCCGGCATACAGCTTCTGGGTCATGTGGCCAGCATGACTAAGCCGCTTCTGGCGAACCAGAGCAGCACACGGAAACGCTGTTTACCTTCCCGCCGGAATGGTACCTATTTATCTACTTGCACTTTGACGTGCTGGCAGGAGCAGGGACCGAGCAACGGGAGCTCACCCCGTCACTGGGATTCGAACCACTGACCTTCTGATCGGCAAGTCCTAGGCTCTGTGGTTTAACCCACAGCGCCACCCGCGTCCCTAACTGTAAGTTATAACCACTGCTTTAAAAAAAGATATTGGGTTTGGTTATTTGGAGCTTCATTAAAGGGTAAAGGTATAGCATTATGTCCTCTGTAAAAAATGTGCATTAGAGTCCATGCGAATGGTGTGCAAGTATATTCATGTACTCTAAAGGAGAAATTGTGCTGAAGTACAGGATTTGACTTCTGAGCATCTTGCCTTTCTGTCTCTTCGACACTAGATTTAAAACTCCTGACAAGAGTGTCTTCTCTTACAATAACCAACCTATAAAATCTACCTCCCCTGAGACTTAAATACACGCACACACATCACCTTCTTATCTTGCTTAGATCTTTCAGTCTGATCACTAGCCAAAACCCTGGACCAAAAATGACTTAAGAGAAACAGAAATAAGTTGAACATGCAGTTGGAACATGCTAGGGTCTAGCAGGTCCCCACTGCAAGCTAAATAATGCGTATTACATAGTGGTTGTATCCTTCCTAACCCCTTTAAAGAAAGAAGACAGCATTCTCAGCCCAGCAGATGTCTTTGACAGAGATTAAATTTTAACCCATAGGTAGCTCCATGAAAAACGGGTTTTCAAAACCTCTGTGTTCTGAAGGATGCTCCTGAGATGATTGACACAAAGAGCTTGTTAAATTTTAAGTCAGCCTCCTGCTTCCTGCAAGGGCAGGACTGTCAGTTCTAGATACAGAGACGTTCCATCTATTCACAGAGCAGGTAAAAACACAGATAACAACCATGTAAGGTTTCTGTGACACTGCTCCCCATTAGTCTTTCCCACCCATGGCTCAACGAAGGTTTGGGGGCTTTCCCTGCTGGGACTATGTAACATTTCCTAAAAGGATGTTGGATTCAGGGTGTGCCAATACCAACTCCTGCCAGCAAGTTCTGAACTAGGATAGATTTTTTTACTTAAGTGTTACACCTACATATTCAAGCGTTATTTTTGGACATAACTCAGAGGTCAATGTTCTTTCTTTCATCCAAAAGAACACCGGTTATTCCTTCAGCTCATCATTATGAAGCAGAGACACAGCTACCCACAACTTCTGGCAATCTGAATTTGCTACACGTCTCCAATATCTGCATGCTGGACATAATCATTAGACTAGAACTGTAGGCTTGGAAAGGACCGTGAGCATCATCTAATACAGTGGTACCTCAGAAGTCGAACGGAATCCGTTCCGGAAGTCCATTCAACTTCCAAAACGTTCAGAAACCAAGGCGCAGTTTCCGATTGGCTTCCGAATTTGCGGCATTCGGGAGCCAAAACGTTCAACTCGCAAGGCGTTTGGGATCCAAGGTACGACTGTACAACCCTCTGCAATGCAGGAATATGCAGCTAGCCTGTTTGGGGATTGAACCAGTGACCTTGGCGTTATGAGCACAACGCTCTAACCAACCCAGCTAACCAGCAACTGCAACGTAACCCCATGGGATTTAAAGGATATTGTTTCGACTTCTATACAAATGCCTTGATATTGAATGTGATTTCCACTTTCTATCCGATTCTGCCCAACGAAAGCTTCTAAAAAGTCCTTGCTACAGCTTTGCATTTGCCCACTTCCTACTTTGCAATGGCCACATTGTATCGAGCTATCTAGCAAGGGCCCCTACCTGAGCAGCAAGTTTGAAAGGCTATTATTTATTTTGATGGCTTGCTGAAGTCAGGAAAATAATACCCTCTTTTAAATGCTGTTGCAGAAAAGAGTCAATTTTCATTTTAGTTAGCGACGATCAGGATCTATTCCTAGATTTGCTGAATAAAGATTTAATCATTAATTCCGCGGCGGAAGCAGAGGCATCACAACATTGGAGTAAAAGCAGGCAGGCTTAGATAGATCTTCTCTGCATTGTGGATTCTCTCTTCCTCCCCTAATCCAAGGTGTCTTGTCTCAATATCATTGGACCGTCACTAAACACCTCACTGTGTTCTTCACAAGGCAGAAGCTCAGCACCTTCAACCCTAGTCTGGAAAGCTGGGAGTATATAATTTATTTTTTGTTTTTGGGGCACTTGGTCTTAGTCTCAAGCAGAAAGAAGCACAGCAGGAAAGTCAAAGCAGATTGTGGATGTTGGGAGGGAGAGGGATGAGAAACCTAATAAAACCAGTCCCATAAATTTAGGCCAAGCAAAGGTTTCTAGGAAACAAGATCCGAGTTGGTGGAGACGAGACAAGGCGAGCCACACCATGCATAAAACGCAAATCCTCAGAGCTGATCTCCACCCCTTCTGCCATTCCAAGCATATCTATATGAAAGTGTTTTGTGAGCAATCGGGAAACGGTGAGACCCTGGAGAAATAATTAAGAAATGAGCTCTACTGGTTGGTGGCTTCTGTCCCGAAAGGGAACAAAGTGTCTTTTGTGAAGCCTTCTCCGCAGGGGAAAAAAAAAGCCTCCTAGAGTTTGAACAGCATCCACAGCCTCCCCTGGAATTAAACCCAAAGCAAAGCTTTATTGTTCCCTTTCACTTTGACTGCCGCGTGTGGGGGTGAAAAATCCCAAGAGGTTTTAAAATATTACAGATAGGCTAGGCTTGGCTGCTTTTTTCCCAGGACATGAATCAACTTTATTGCAAAAAACAAAAAGCCATTAGTGTTACTGAGGCACAGACAGTGTCGGTGAATATACACAGGGGTGAAAGGGTAAACAAATACTTTCAGCAGCATGAAGATACGCTTCTGCTGTTTTAAAAATGGATAGAAAAGGGATATTTTAAAGAATTGCTCAGAAAGTAGTGTAGCAAAAATTTCAGGCATGAACAAAATCTTAAGAGGTCAGAAATATGAGGCATGCCACTTAAATGTCCCGAATCTCAGGTTTCAAGGGAGGGATGGACTCTGGTCCCAATTCTTGCATTATTTTGGGATCCTTCGCACATGACAGTTTCCCTTAGTAGATTAGATCCTGTCAGTCAGATTCTCAAGTGCCCTAAGCAACAAACAAGCTTCACTGCTTTCAAGACAAGAGACTGGAGGAGAGGTTATAAAAAATGAAGTCTGCCGCAGGTAAGCCGTGCTTACAAGTCATAGCAGAAGGCAACTCCATTGCATAAAAGAATGCAAATATTATTACTACTATTAATATTATCCATGGAGTTTTCTTGGCAGGGATAATATGAGGGCACAAGGAGAAGGGGACAACAGAGGACGAGATGGTTGGACAGTGTTCTCGAAGCTACCAACATGAGTTTGACCAAACTGTGGGAGGCAATGGAAGACAGGAGTGCCTGGCATGCTGTGGTCCATGGGGTCATGAAGAGTCGGACACGACTAAACAACAACTATTAATATTACTACTTATTAATAAACACACTCAACATGTCTCAACCACAAGTAGATAAAAATGGAGTACTTTTTCCTAACAGATCTGAAAAGGTTGCTCCTAGACTATCACTGCATCAGCTCTAATTGGTTAGACATTTTGAGATATAAAAATAGATTCCTTATGGAACAAATTAGAAACAACTTTAATCCAATTGATTTCAATGGTAAGTAAGTTCAATTAACTCAATTTCAATCCAATTCATCACCTTCCTGGTTTGATCCCATAATGCTCTCTGACCGTGAAACACATTGGTTCTATTGCTCTACAACAGCAAACATAATAAAAGACCTTTACAACTTTGGGGATTTTCTCATCTCTTTGGTTGCCTGTGAACTGGTCAGTCCTACTGTTTCTCAGCTGATGTGACCCAAAAAATATCTCTGAGATATTTCCCTAACATTATGGAAGCATCAAACACATTACTTTGACTTTTTAAAGACTTGTTTTCCTGGCCACAGGACAGATCACAACATGTTCTTGTCTCAATTTATCCTAATGATCTTGTGGATTAGATTAGGCAGAGAGATAATGACTTGCTAAAGGCAACCCACAGAAAGCTTCTTGGCTCAGAGAGATATGAATTCTGACCTCCTACTACTCAAACCATATCTCTAACACTTACCAGGACCGCACCATACATTGCATGCCTGTATTATAAAGTTGTAGCTGCTAGATAAAAAAAATACCTGCACCATGTCCTCAGAAGCTGAACAACCTTTGCTGATTCAACAGGGTCCATTGGCAGGCGAAGGATCGTCATCGTTGTATCGTCTATTCCTTTGGGGAGGACTTGGTGAAGGGAGAGTGTCAGCCCTAAATGGGCGGGGGGGGGGGGGAGAGAATAAACAGAGAAGTTTTCAGACTTGCCTTTAAACCTGTGAATTACAGTAGGAAAAGGGATTATTACTGCATGTGATGTCAAGGCCTATGGTGTCCACACATTCACACCAGAAGTATGAATACCTAGCTCATAGAGTTAGGTTGATGGAAGGTACATTCAAAATGACATCAAGAACTTCCCATCAAAGGCAAGGTGATGGCCATTAAATGGCTAAGCAATGCTTAGCTCCAAGCACACGCATGCACCATATTCCAACCCAACAAAGATGGTGCTTTCAGTAGTTGCATTCACTATTCTTCTACAATTTCCACAGCCTCAGTGTGGGAGGAATACGGCTGCTTACTGCTATTGCTAGAAAGAAAACATCCTTTGGCTTAAATACTACTAGCCTCCCAAGTTAGACCAAGAGCTGGCAGCTGTTCTGCAGTGATTAAAGGATTCACTCATCTTCTACTGCCTTGCCTTGGCTGTGCATTACACAAAGTTTTTTATGCTATTATCACATAGCTCAGTCCCACTAGTTTTAAGGATTCCATCAAGTTAAAGGATTCTTTAACATCCTCAATTCATTTTTAATCTTAAACCATTGATCTCTCTCTGTTTATTTCTTAACACTTCTTCCTAAACAAAGTAAATCTTTATGAAACACCTTGACAAGGTTCAGCTCAAACAGAAAATGATGGTTAAATACATTCCACGTCAGGCTATTCATTCATTTAGGCCTAGGCTGGAGTCCCCAGAAAGCCACTGCCAATCAGAATACACAGTATTGATCTCTCCCACCACTTGTTACTAAATCCTTTAAAGTGGAGACAGCAGGAACTGAACCTGGGGCTTTCCGTATGCAAAGCATGCCTTCTAACCTTCCGCTAACCACAGTTTGCCAAGATATTCATACTCATGGAACAATGGTTTGCTTAATGTTTCAAAGCAAAACAGGAACAATCCTTGATTGCAAATCCTGGCCTTTTCTGCACAACTATAGTTTATGCAAACCACAGTTTCCTGAGTTAACACACCACAGGAAAGCCACGATACCACCATAGTCTCTTAGCATGACATGACATAGTTTGAACCTTGGATCTTCTTTTTTAAAAAAATAATAATAATACTTTATTTAGAATTCAACAATAACAAAGGAAAAACCCACAGTAATTGCTACATCAATTAATTACAATTAACCAATTTTAACAATATATAAATAGTAATAGAAAAATTACACATCACTTTTAACTTACTGAAGTTTTCATATTACACTTTTATGTCTTTATCTCTTAACAAATCAAAAAGAGAAAGACCAAGAAAGGAGGCATAAAAAAGAAAAAAGAAGAGGAAAAAAAGGGGGGGGGGAGAGAGAACAAAGAAAAAAAGAGAGAAAGGGGATAAAGAAAAAAAGGAAAAGAAAACAAAATAAACACATTTGACTTCTGATTAGACTCATTGTGTTATTATTTCTACTATTTTTTCACACACTGATCCAAATTATTGTATTGCTTTCTTTGTTTTCGTCAGACATAAAAAAACATTATATTTGTTGTTTTACAAGGATCATTCTATTTCTGTCAGGAGATATTTGTTATTGTAATGTTTTTCCAGATACTCTTTAAAGATTTTCCATTCTTTCTGTACTTTCTGTTTTGGATAACCTCTAATTCTCTCTGTCATCATGGCCATCTGTAAATATTCTATCATTTGGACCTGCCACTCATTTATCGTAGGTGTTTTGTCACTTTTCCAGTTTCTTGTAATTAAGATCCTGGCTGCTACTGTTGTGTACATAAAAAGTGACCTAATTTCTTTTTTGATTTCTGGTGACATTATTCCCAGGAGGAAGGTTTCAAACCTTGGATCTTCTACAGGCAAGGCATGTGCTCTACAGAGCTACACTCCCTTCACACCAACAGAAAAACTGGTATCAGGCATTCCCTCTTCCCAGGGAACCCACACCTGTTCTCCTAAGTATCCTAACTGTTGGAGTGATATAGTATACAGAACAAGTATATCAATCTGAAGTATAAATAGGATCTAAAACCCGATAACCACTTGGGGGGCTTCATGCAATCTATGAATCTGTTTTTCCCCACTGTGAAAGTGTGTTGGGCAGACTAACACAAGCACAAGCTTGTGTTTGCAAATTGTGTTTGCGGGTGGGAAGGAAGGAACACAGCTCACCCAAGTAGGCCAGGATTTGCAGCTGGAACAGCCAATTAACACATCTGGTTTTTTTTCAGATTAGCCTTAAGGAGAGAGGGGGGACAAAGTTTGTGCAGACTGAGAAAAAGCCTCTCACAGTAATTAAGTGAATTGGGGTTGAATAAACTAATACGCAGAATCAATGAAGATAATGAGAAGATGAGCTGGGAGTTAACAGAGCAGGCAATAAAAGTGAAGCAGATGTGGAGAGGATGCAGTATCTAAGCATGTTGTAGAAATAAGCAAGAGGAAAATGAGGAGCACCTTTCCCACCCAATGCAAGGAATCTGGTTAAATCTATACACATTTGTGAATACAAAATCTGCCTTTCTCATGAGACATCTGCTTGTGGCATGACCTGCCATGCTCCAGCTGTGAACAGCTTTCAACAGATATGCATCCACATCTACCAACACTCAGGGAAAGGAGGGCAGCGACCAATTGCAGCAGACAGGTATAACAAAACAAAAAGCAAAGCAAAGCAAAACGAGAAAATTAGACCAAGTTAGGGAGCATTTGTATTCCCAGCATGAACACTGGCCATCTCATGGTCCCTAGAGCACTGGGCAACCACTTTGTGTAAACCTGTAAACAGAAGTTACTCAACTTATGGGGTAGACCAGCCTCTTGCTCTCATTTGCCTCTTGCTCAGCAGAATAGCAAAAGCTAAGTCTCAGGAACCGTGGTTCCTTACGGAAACTGAAATATCACATGAGTGCACCCACAGCAATAGGATAGGTGCAGAGTTAGTGTGATGGGAGAGGAAGGCAGAGACTTGAGGTTCAGGGGGACTACCCCTTGAGCAACAAGGCCCAAACCAAAATAATTCCCTCTGAGAAACCACAGCCTTTATTCCCCCTTCTACTCCTCTCACTTTTAACACAGCATGATTTTATTGCTATTTTCTGGCCGTCAAGTTTATGTAGCTTTTTGTTGTTGTCACTGTCACTGCTTGTACACCTGCATGTAACCATAAAGGTTCGGCGGGAAATCAACAGGCAAAAGAGAGGTGGCAGGAGGGGTGCAAGTGGCACGTCCAATCTGTCGCAATCCATTTCTGCAGAGCGGCAGCAGAATGCTTGCTAATGCAGTGAAGATCCCGGGAAGTCTTGAGCGTTTTGTGACACATGGCGAGATGCTCCCCAGTGTATTCATCTTCCACACAGTCTATTTTACTGCCTATCCATCATCTGGAACAGGCAAAAAATGAGAAAGAAAAACCCACACCAACCAACCAACCAACCAGCCCCCCTTCAAGGTGTCTTGAGAATGAGTTTATGTAAGATATCATTCAAGCACATATAGCTGTAAAGCTACTGCTAGGGGAGAGATGCTGGTGGGGGCGGAAACACAGGTGGGATATTGGAAAATATTTAACAGCCAAAGGGGAGGACGTGGCATCAGAAAGCAGAAGCAGGAGAGAAATTCAGGAGCTAAAAATCAATGAACTGCTTTAAGGGCACTTACAGATTTGATAAAGATTGTAGTATGTAGAGACTGAGGGCATTTCATGAAAATGTAGCCCCATTAACAGCCTCATATATACTCCCTTGACTCTCCAGTTGTAATCTTAATGGCGGATCATGCTAACTCAGAAAAGAAGAGATGCAAGGCTGCTCAGAGGCCAGCCTTCCACTCCAGCCTCACAACTGGAAATGGAGTCACAATGGCAATTCCTCTGGCCTGGCAGAAAGACTGTGCTGCAATGCACAAGGAACATATGGCTCAATAAGTTCATTTCAATAGAAAGGAAAGGATCACACAGACTTGAAGCCCCATTGAAATGCAAGTGTAAATGGGAACTCCAGGTGCATACCAGAGTTCCCATACCCATCACAGGGAAGGATGATAAGTAACTCTTGAGATATTTCATCATCTGACAACTTGAACCTTATGTTATTCATTGAGTGACACCAACACTAACAACATGAATACCATGTCCTTGTTAGAGGTGCATCTCAATAAGGATTATGAAGGACTCGTGTACACTCAGCATCCACAGTCTCCATGTACTAATGTCTACAGTCTACACCTTGTTTTCATAGAGTCATAAGTGTTGGAAGGGAACCCGAGGGCCATTTGGCCCAACCCCCTGCAATGCATGAATCTTTTGCCACTGCAATGTCGGAATCTTTTGCCCAATGTGGGGCTTGAACCCACAACCCTGAGGTTAAGAGTGTCATGCTCTACCACCTGAGCTATCCACAGGGCACCTATGTTACACCTATTTCTACCCTTTCTCAACAGTACATTGGGAGCCCTTCCTCATTCCCCCCTTCTCCATCCCAGCACTGGTAGTTTGCAGGTACCCACTTTGAAAATATCCCTTTAAGGTGGAAATGCTGAGGAAATATAGGGAGCTATTGTCCGGAATCAACCTACATATGATTACAACTGCTCCCAATACATTAATTGATCTGGATGTAATGGCCTTCCCTTGGAGACAGCTGGCATTTAGTTTTAGTCATATTGGTCTTCTACACATGATTTTAATGGTGCTGTTGGGAAAGGCACTTGAAGGCACTGAGATGCGGGAAAGGGATGTGCACCTGGTCAAAGTGCTCAGACCCTAAATGAAGCAAATGATGTCATATGCTGAGTGGCCATTTATGGCCACGCAACCAAATATACTGGAAATGGGATGATGGAGTCAATGACCTCATCCTGTTCTTTGCTTACACAGCCAGAGGTGGTGAGGGCAACATGAATAACTCCATCAATTTACTTTCCTATATTTTTCCATGGAAGTAAAACTGTTTCCTTTAGTTGTTGGACTAAAGAAGATTCCATAATAGGATGGGGAGGAGCAGAAAGAATAGCCTTCCTGTTCTAGGAAAGGAAAACAGTTCAAGGCACAGGAGGCACATTCTTTCTTCTTACTATGAGCTGCTTCATACACTAGAGTTTTTCTATACAGATTGGCCCTTCTGTGTAGAAAATGGCTGCTGTGTCAGTCGGGGTTTTCCCTTCACACCTGTATATGGCAAAATGGCACATATCTATACTGCGTTCTTCTCACGACAGTAGAGCTTTGCCACAAAGAAGCACATGAGTTGGAGAGGAAGAGAAGGGGAAAAAACTTGCAGCCCTTGAACTGTTTAGTTGAGTGGGGACAGGGTTGGTCTGAAGAATGGGTGGGGGGGGTGGCACCTAACCCCTAAAACCTCACCTAAATCCCAGCAGAGCCACCACCAGCCTCCCTCAGGCAACCAAAGCTCCCACCAATGCTGCCTCAAAAGTCTGTCTTATTTTGGAAAGAACTCAGCTGCTGTGGCTGAAAAGGGAGGTGGGAGAACCCACCCATCCCACTTGGAGAAGCAAGGATGGACACTCTGGGTTTCCCACTGGTATTGAAGAAGATTCCTGGCACAAGATGTGTGGATGGGGAGTAGGAAGAGTTCTGAAAGCGGGAAAGAGCAACTAGGAAGGGCACAGGGAGGAAACCAAAAAGGGACTTTTGTGCTCTCTAATGGCGTGCTATGCTAGAAGGTAATGATCCATGTCTAAAATGAATGGTGCTGGGGCTGAAGCCCAAACAACTGTCACATCATGACCTTGCATGTTTCTAAATTTGCATGTGGGCATGGATAACTTGCAATTGCTCAGTAGTCAAGATAATGTGCTCCTTGCATACTCAGAGGTACTTTCTCTCACACATTCAAGGGCCCAGCCCTGGTAACTGAAAACAGATCCCTAAGAGCCCTGGTACAATGAAGCACCATTCTTTTTGGGTGGTGGAGTTCCTTATTTCATTTTTTGGTACCAAAGGTAGTGTGTATACACACCCAATCCATTGCAGGTAACTCGCATCTTGAGTGAGGGTTTGGTGGGGGGTGGGCACACATATACATACAAAAATGCATAAAGCCAGGATCTCCTGGAAAGGGATGCTGTTTGCCTGGCTTTGGGAAAGAGCCATGAGGGCTCTGGCAGTGTCCTAGAGCCCTCACGGTTCCTTACCAAAGTCTTGAAAGCGCTTGCCCAGCTTTGGGAAGGCGGGGTGGGGGCGGAGAGCTCTAGGACCCTGTCAGAGGCTTGTGCCTCTTTCTCAAAGTCCATGGGCCTCACTTACCTGGCTCTGGGCTTGGGGTGTTAGGGCTCTGGGATGCTGACTGGGGCAAGTAAGCTCACAATCATCACACAGAGAGAGATTTGCTTTAAAGGGGTAGCCAGTGAGAAAATGGGGCTGCAGCAAAATGTCCCACACAATCTTCAGACATGAGCGTTCTGCTATTGTCATCAACGGAGTGGAGTGGACACGCCAGAGAAACGTTTGGAGGCTACAGTCCCAGGAATCCAAGATGTGCATGGAGTGGAAGGTGGTGGAGTTTTACATATTGATTGACAAAAGAAAGCATCAGGCAAACACCTCCCCCCTCCACCCCTCTTGTGGCTGTGACCTGTGGGTGTGACAGTGTATGTGAACTTCTCTATGCATATCCATGCAGAAAATTAGACATGTGTGAAGCAGCTTCCAGGTTCTTTGTTTCAAAAAACACAAGCTTGAAATGTAGAGGGGGGGGGCACGTTCACAGCAGCCCTGTTGGAGGCAGCAAAAAACGCAGCTGTTCCAAAAGCAGCTCACAGACTCTGCCGTGCGTGGCGCATTCTCACCTTAAAAGCTCTCAGAACAATTTCTGTACATTATACGCAACGATGTTTCTTTGGAACGGCAGCGCGTGTGCCACTCATTAGCATGTCACCAAGAGCAACATCTGCAGTGATGAGCCAGAATTATTATTAGTGCTCCTTCCACCCAGCCCCTCTTTTATCACTCCCCCTTTGCCTCCAAAACTTATTTACCAGAAAACTGACACTCTCACTGAGGAGATCTGATTCTGGGAATCAGGGAATATGACAGCATTAGTAGAGAAGCTTCCCAAAACCCTCTGATGCTCTTTATTAATTTAGAATCCCATGAATATCAATGAAAAATTGAAGAAAAGAGGCATAAGATGCTTGTCTCTTGTGAGGGGTGAATGATGTGTCAGGTTTCAGTCATTTTGCATGTCATATTATTTTATTTTTTGCTCTATGCACTGTGAGGCTAACATAGACAAGCATATTTCAGGGGAATAAAATGATTTCTAGGTTGTGATTTCTGTATGGTCAAAACTCCAGATTGGCCCAGTACATTTAGTACTTGGGTAGCCTTGCAAAATAAGGAGATGACACAGTTGCTTCCTGTTTCCTGTATGTAGTACTTTTACTGCTGACCCACCTTCTCCTTGTTGACCACCCACAGGACTATACTGTCCCCAGAGCCCGCAATTGTCAGCAGCACACATGTCCAGAACTAACTTTGCTGCTCTGCAGAACACAGAAGTGTTGGCGTTTTATTCCATACCACAGTGCTGTTAACAGCCTATGAAACAGAGATATACATGCAGCTGATTAAGACCTGTCTCTGTTGGATTGAACCAAGTGGTTGTCTAGCACTTCTAAGGCCTGCTTCAGATGTAATGGGGAAACCCTATATTACTGCTAGATGGATGAACATCCCTGACTCCTCCCATACTTGCTGCTCCTGGTGTGCAAAAGATAAGAGGAGGTTAAAGCAAAACAGATACTTCCAAAGTAAACCATATGTTCACATACACATGTAAACAGTCCTGTTCATATTCAAAAGTGTCTTGTTTAATTGATAGCTCATTAAAGGAAACCAACGTATGAAGCCACAGTTTGATCTTGGCTTCAGTTTAATCAAACTACAGTTCCCAATGTCTGGACAGGTCAAGGAACTGTGGTTTGTTTTGAAAGTGGAAGCATATGCACCCAAGTTTCTCTTCTGATATACCAAGACGGAGAGAGCAGGGTGGAGCACCTGAACCCAAAACCTCATTCACATGGCAGGAGGCCATTGATGCATCTGAACTGGGGCTTAACAACAACCAGTTAGATGCCCCTCAGGAAGTTCAAAAGCAGAGCAAAATAGATTGTCCCCTGTTCTCTGGTAATCAAAATCTTAAAGTATGGCACTCTGCTCATCCTTTAGCAGCAATAACGCTCCAGGGAGTGGAAGAGTGAACCTTCAGCTGAATAGCCACCAGTACCCTTCCCAGCAACCTATTAACAATCAATCAGTTTGATTGTACGTCTTTTCCAAAGTCAAACAGATGAGCAAATCTCTCACCTTTGTGGAAATTCTCCTGATTAGCTGGTAATGGGATGTGTGGCTTGAATAAAATTAATCTGTCCCTAACAGCAAAAAGCTTGTGCAGCAGAGATGACAAATAGCCGATCTAATTCACCTTCATATGACCAAACTTCCATTTTATTGCATTCAGTCTCCTCCCTTTCATCTCTACGGTAGCTACTCACAAACAATAATGTCAGAGAAAAATGTGCTAAAACAGGAAGGGGGAAAGGACTTTGCAAGTCCTTTCGCTGAAACTTCAGGATTTTCTACTGAGGAGCTAAGGAAAAGGACACAAAAAAGTTTTTCCCACCGGAGTGTCTGCTCCGATAAGACCTTGCAACTGACAGATGAGAATATGCTGTGCGCTTGGTTTATAAATATATCTCATTCCCCCCCTTTCCTACATACTTATATATTACTTCAGTGCTTGGACCAGGCAGAATCTTCTCTTGCTGTCATGCTTCATTCTTCAGAGTGCAGATTAAAGGCAGGAAGCAAGGAAGACACTGGGATTAGCCTGAAGTTCTCCCTTGAAAATCAGGAGACCAGACACAAAGGATTCTTGGGGACATATGAACAAGCAGCTGACGTCTGTCACCACAGACTGCCGGAACGTGAATAGACATGTTGGGACAGGGCTTGCTTGTCCCTGTATCCAGAGATTTGAAACAGCAAGGCAGCAGGTTGGTAAACAGAGGCGAATTCAGAAGCCACAAATATGCTGGTATTCTCAAAGATTCTATTATGCCACCATTTACAAGACATTCAGCAGCAGGCCTTTGTTTTAGTTCCACTGCCAGGGGAACTGCACGGTGAGGTGGCATGACACAGGGTCTTCTCAGTGGTGGCACTCAGGTGTCTCAAATGCCTTCCATTGGAGGATTCACCTGGTGGTCCGTCTTACTTGAGTTTCAAGCTCCAGTTAAAAACCCATCTTTTAAGCCAGGGGTTTGCAGGAGGTTGTGATGTGGTCAGCCACTACTGTGTACAGTAACACAATTGCTGTATTACTTTATCCCCCCCACTTTTTTGTTTAAAACAAAGACAAAACAACTGCATACAGTCAGAGAATCAACTCTGTGCTGTATTATTATGAATTTTTTTTTTTTAAAAAAGGGTTTAAATTGTAACATTTGATATGTGTTATAACCCACCCTGGGATATGGATGATTGACAAATAGAAGCAAACAATAATAATAAAAAAATAAAGGGACTCGCGTTCTCTCTGACCTCTTTACTACATTAAACATTCTTCCTAAGAACTATATAGCACTGGGAAGCAGTTGTAGAATGATTTTTACACATCCTTCTGATCCACAATTGTTCTGCCTCTCAAGCTGGCCTGCTTATCAGTATTTCCAAAGTTTCCTACAACAAGGAAAAGTCTAGTGTTTTGATTAAACTTTGAAAGGCATTTGGCTGTCCACTCTTAGAATACTGGACTAGTCTGATCTTGCTGGTTCCAACCTTTGTGTTCTTATATGTTCTCATGTCCTTTAGTAAAGCAACTTTGCAAATAGTTAACTTGCCAGTCTGCTCTGCCATTTGCCACCTCTTTTCTTTTTAAATACATTTTTATTAGTTTTTAACATATTAATTAACATTCATACAACAGAACTTCACATCTTATACAATATTTTTTGGACTTCCAACAACGCCTCTGATGATTTTCTGTTCTTATCACTTATTATGCATTTCTTAATCTCATATTACCTTTAATTGTCTTTAATTAATAATTCTCCTCATTGTCTTTTTTGCAATATTTCTAATAATTCACCTTACAAAACTTATTGCGAACCTACTAGCATAATCTGTCCATCACAATTACTTTTCAAATAGTCTGTAAATTTACTCCAGTCTTCTGAGAATCTCTGATCCCTCAGGTTTCGAATCCTTCCTGTTAGTTTATCTAATTCTGCATAGCCCATCGATTTCATTCTCCACTCTATTTGCCACCTCTTTTCTTTCCACCACCTCCATGGCATCCTGAATTTTCCTCAACTAGAATAAATGCACTTTAATTGCCATGTTTTCAGTGGAATTCAGTACAGGTACACCTAAATTTCCAGAACTGCATCAAAGGATTTTAAAAAAAGGAGCACATGGTCTACACTAACTCTTTGAGGTGAAGTTGTTGCTGCTAACTGTTGATTCACAGTAAAGGAAAGTTGTCTGCCAAAAAGATACACATGGAAATGTAAGGCATTCTAGGGAGCAAATTATGATTCACTTTGATTATTCTAATGATCCTATTGAAATAATCAACAAATTTTTCCTTTAATATGCCACCAGATGCCTAGCTCACAACTCACAGATGGGCTGGTGAGATGGATTTCTAGCTCTGGAATTTGTTCTCTCTTCATGTTAGGAGGCAAACAAAAGTTGAAAATAGGGGGCAGTCACGTGGTTTGGGGTGTTTTTTGGGGGGAAGGTGTGGGTGGGTGATAGCTGTCAATGTTTCCCTTTTTTAAAGGGAAATTCCCTTATTCTGAATAGGATTCTTCACAAGAAAATGGAAAAGTTGACAGCTATGGCGTGTGTGGGTGTGTGGGTGTGTGGGTGGGGATGGGGGTGTACGTTTGATTGGACTGCTGGGGATGGAACAGATGGGGTTTTGAAGACATTCTGTATGTACAATTCTCTAATGGAATATGCTCTTCTCTTCCCAACTAATGCCAAGATCAAACTCTATTCTGGTTGTGTTTATCACAGTGAGAGATGAAAAGCTAGAGCTCGCTCACAGAGGTAAATAATCGGAGATCAATCAGCTACTAATGGAGGGACCACATCATTTTGCTCTGAGTGGGAAAGGCATGCTGGTTTGGCAAAAGAACAGTCTTCTTGATCCTTCTTCTAAAAGCTACCCATAGAGGTAAATCTATTTTTAGCCAGCTCTTGCCAATCTAAATGCAACCTAATGATAAACCCAAGCATGCTGAATATGCAGCTCGAGAAAGAGACAGACTGTGAATTCTCTTTTTACAACAGACAACTAGAAAAAAAATAGATTTTGTATTGAGGAAAAACTGATGTAAATTTGCTACATTTGCTAGGCACTGTTGGGATATTTCATTTGCATAGCCACTGTAATCCAGCACACACAATTTGTGCACAGAAATCTATTTCTGAACAGGGATTCTTCATTTATAGATTCAGACTTATGCACAGTAAAGTGGGTCCAGCACATCGTACACCTAGCAGAGTGTACTCTGGGAATCCTGCATCAGGAAAACAGACTGAGCAGAAGACCAGGTCCCTGATAGTACGGCTTTGGTAGACACAGTACTCCACTCTTTCTCCAGACTTCCCCTGACAACTGCCTGTGCCTTCTAAGAAACCTGGTCTGAATGTTATTATCCCAAATAATGTTTGGGAATGTTATTATCTCACTGAGAGTGAGAACATTGGCCTGCCTGTTCTTGTCTACTATGACCAGCTGCAATTCTCCAAGATCTCCGGCAAGTGGACTTTTCTCTGTCCTGTACCAAAACATATTTTAACTGGAGATGTTAGGGATTGAACCTGGGAGAATGTTCCTTCCTTTTTCTTGGGCATTCAAATTTTCACACTATATTATTGTTGCTGCTGCTGCTGTAGCACTTCTCCATGTGCAAAGAATTTTACACCGTCTATCTCAAGTTGCCTCAACCAAATCCTATGGAGGTTGCAAGATAACTATTTACCCCAAGCTATTTAGTGAATCTCTTTATGTTAAACTAAGCTACAAAAAATCAAAAACAAAGTTAGGTAGTAACTGCTCTAATATGCACTTAGCTACACCCTCCTGCAATTTGTTTCCTCAGCACTGACGGTTGCCATTCAACACAGCATTAGCATTATTACTATGCCATGAATGTCAAGCTAGTTTGAATTCAGCCTTGCTCACTGACAAAACTGACTGGCAAAAGGCAACACACAGGCAGCCATTTCATTGCCCTTATGAAAGCCGGCTCTGTGTTGCGCTGCTTGCATTCCATTTCTTGCAAGCTCAAAAATACACTGCTCTAAATTATAAGTGTTGTATCTGGGAAGATGCAAGTAGAAGGGTTTTTGTTGTTGTTTTTAAAAAAGAAGATGATCATTAGGAGCTCCACCACCTCTGCACTTGATTGCCAGAGAAAGTTCAGGGCAGTGACTCATCCAGTCACTTGGTACAGCTTTGATAATGCATAAAATTACCAATAAGAAGTCAGGCTCATGCCACACTGCAATCATAGGAGAGGCTGAAACATGGAATGGACTCACTCAGCTCAGTATAACCAGTTGTTAAGCACTGTTATTCTTAGAAAGGTTTTACAGTGGTGCCTCGCAAGACGAAATTAATCCATTCCGCGAGTCTCTTCGTCTTGCAGTTTTTTCGTCTTGCGAAGCACGGCTATTAGCGGCTTAGCGGCTATTAGCAGCTTAGCGGCTATTAACGGCTTAGCGGCTTTAAGAAAAAGGAAACAAACTCACAAGAACTCGCAAGACGTTTCGTCTTGCGAAGCAAGCCCATAGGGAAATTCGTCTTGCGGAACGACTCAAAAAACGCAAAACCCTTTCGTCTAGCGAGTTTTTCGTCTTGCGAGGCATTCGTCTTGCGGTGCACCACTGTATATTCTGCCATAAGTTCCTGATATTCTGAAGTTCAAACTGAATTTCTTTAACGACAAGGATTTTTCTCATGGTCCAAAAAATTGACTTACTGTGCTACCTCATGATAATGTAATGAATGTTTAGTAAATAAGACACAGTTTGGTGACCAGTCAACAAATGTGCAGAACTATCTTTTCCTCCCGGTTGCCTTCTTTCTATTTACCTAATTATGTATGTGCCAAATGTCCTGTAATGGAACCAGAATACAGTGGTACCTTGGGTTAAGTACTTAATTCGTTCCGGAGGTCCGTTCTTAACCTGAAACTGTTCTTAACCTGAAGCACCACTTTAGATAATGGGGCCTACCGCTGCTGCCGTGCCCCCAGCACGCGATTTCTGTTCTCACCGTGAAGCAAAGTTCTTAACCCAAGGTAATATTTCTGGGTTAGCGGAGTCTGTAACCTGAAGCGTATGTAACCTGAAGCGTATGTAACCCGAGGTACCACTGTATGCTTCTTGTGGAACAAATTTCACTCCCAACTGCTTGAGTTATAAAATGGTTCCAGAGTGCAGTAGATCAACAAGGGCAAAGAATTTGATTTCCATTTCCCAAAATCAACTCAATGGGTAAAGGTAAAGAGTCCCTGGATGGTTAAGTCCAGTCAGAGGCGACTATGGGGTTGCAGCGCTCATCTCACTTTCAGGCCAAGGGAGCCGGCACTTGTTCACAGACAGCTTTCTGGGTCATGTGGCCAGCATGACTAAGCTGCTTCTGGAGCAATGGAACACCATGATGGAAGCCAGAGCACACGGAAACGACGTTTACCTTCCCACCACAGCAGTACCTATTTATCTACTTGCACTGGTGTGTTTTGAACTGCTAGGTTGGCAGAAGCTGGGACAGAGCAATGGGAGTTCACCCCATCCTGTGGATTCGAACTACTGATCTTCCAATCAGTGGTTTAGACCACAGTGCCACCCGTGTCATACATGGGGAGGGACTAGAAGAACAATATGTGAATAAGCCTTCTTAGGCCCAAACTCAAAGGTTATGGCATTCTTTCCTCAAAGCAGTATGAATACTCTGCAATATCTCTTGGAACGAAACAAATTTCAAAATGACAAGAAGACATATTACAGTTGGTGCCTTAACACACACACAGGGAAATGGGCAATCCGAGAGACAAAGCAAGGATCTCTACAATCAAAAATCCAATATAATTCCTCAAGGGCAGCTATCCATACAAGCCTACGCACAGCATCAGGCTCTTCTCACTGCTTTACTTCAGAACACCATTCTATCACGCCAGGATTTTTTTGATGCAGCAGAAAAAGTGAAGTCATTATTTAGCTTGTGCTCAGTTTCTTGCTGATACTTCCTGAAAGAAAGCTGCTAAAAAACCTAGGTGTTGCTCTTCCACTGTTTCTTTATGCTTGGAATGGGGCACAGTGATCAATGTGCTGACACGGCATAACAAATCGCAATCTTACCCTGATGTAGCCAATAGCTTAGTCCAGAAAAGCTGCATCCAGATATAAGGAAGCAAATATTTAGGACTGGGATGTGAGAAAGAAAATGAAACCATTTGCACCAATTTCCTTCAGGCAGAGTAGCTTTTAACAGGCAAGAATTCTGCCAAATACCAGCAATACCAGATCTTCACTGAACACCCCCAGCACTCAATGCCTCTTATTGTATACATTACAAACTGTGTTCTCAGAAACTTCAATCAGATAAGGTTAATGTTAATCGAAATTGACACTGATGGAGAAAATGGTGGAATAGAAGCTTTCTAGAGCTCTGGAAAGATGCATGCTGTGTTGAAGCAGGAGACCCAACCATTTGAGCAGATTCCTGAAAGTCCCAGCAAAGGCTAACAAGGCGAGTTAGACCCCTTGGCTCCCAAGTGCCGGCTGCTGACCTACTTTAGGAGCAGAGCGTACCACAATATTATGGTAATGTATTCTGTGTGAGCCAAGCTATACTTACTTGACTCTAATTGTCCAATCACGTACTGATTTGAGAAACGTATATACATTTTTTTTCAAATCAGTCTAAGCTATAATTTGGGTAACAAACATTTGCATCTAGGCTTTGCTTCACCTCTCTTCTCTTCCCTCAACAGATACCTTTATGCTTTGCCTCATCTGTATCTTGTACAGTGGTACCTCGGGTTACATACGCTTCAGGTTACAGATGCTTCAGGTGACAGACTCCACAAACCCAGAAATAGTACCTTGGGTTAAGAACTTTACTTCAGGATGAGAACAGAAATTGCGGGGCGGCGGCGCGGCAGGCCCCCTTAGCTGAAGTGGTACTTCAGGTTAAGAACAGTTTCAGGTTAAGGACGGACCTCCAGAACAAATTAAGTTCTTAACCCGAGGTACCACTGTACTAAAGTGTTTTTGGAAGCGGATACACTATCTTGTACCAGGTAAGCTACCCCACCTCCAAATAGCTATTTATTTATTGGTTGCACCTAAAGCACAAGAACACTCTGAATGCAGTTGGATTACAACTCCCATTTCCCCCTGACTATTGACTATGATGGCTGAGAATGATGGGAGCTGGAATCCAAAAACACCTGGGAGCGTACCACATTGGCTACTACTGACCTAAAGGATAGTTGTCTACTTATTTTCCCGGGGCTGAACTCTTGTTCTTTGGTGATCACTCCCAGCTGAGTAAGATTGTCTTCCATGAACACGGTCTTAACCGTGAGTCCGTAAGTGACCAAGGAGGCCAATTCTGGATCCACACATCCTTCCACGGTGGGGACAAGACTCACCACATGGTCTTTATAGCTATATTTCAAGTCTACCTTTGCAACAAAACCATAAGGCAAACAAACCAGCCTCTCAGTGTTACCCTCCTTGTGAATGCTGCTGCTGCTGCCTTTGGACTACTCATGTCTACCTGAGGAAAGCTGTATTAGTTGCCCAAACGGGACATTTGCTGGCATTCTTTAGCCAAAGAAAGCAGCAATGAGTGGAGAGGTGGTAAAGGTAAAAAAATGATGGGAATGAACCAACACTGGTATGCTCAATCTGGGTCGGCACTGCACTGTCAAGTCTCTTTCTATATTTTATCTGTCTAAATCACTGCAAAAAATGGCAGGGGGAGTCATATAAAAGCTTTCATGTGTTATAGTGGAGTCAGTGTTTTATTTTTCTAAAGGTCACGTCGGGAAGCAAGAGACAAAGCAAATGACAACAATTACAAATTTACTTTGCAATGGGGAATCTCTTTTCAGTATTAAAAAAAGCCATTTAAGGCACTTATGGGAGCACAGGGCTAGAACTGGTCAAAAGATTTAGATCTCAATGCAAGTGACACACTGAAGAATTTATAAGACCTTCCAACGGCTTTATAGATTAAGACAGCAGGTCTCATTCTGGTATTTATTGAGGTATCTGTATGGTGATTTTGCATTCTAAGTGTTTTACATCTGAGTTCCTAAACAAAAAGGCACATGTTAAGCTGTTATTTAAGTTGCTATGGAAAGTTTACTTATGTGTAAGAGAATACTGTATACCCACATAAATGAAAAATTAACTAAACATAGTAAGTCTTAAACTAACAAATGTACCCAATGGAAATGAAATCCCGCTGTTGGGAGTTATTTCACTGAAAAGCTTGGTAATCACTGGTGTCAATTACCGATGTTCAAATCACGGCCAACACCCTCCTGTGTTGCTGGGGCCAGATGTACAGACAAAGGTAGTTATCAGTGGAATGCGCCAACCCTTGTATGAACAAGTACTAATTATTAACCAACAGGATATACTTCACTGAACTACAATCTGCCACTGTTTGTTATGAAATCCAACTATGCCATTCAAGAATGGACTTGCTTTCATTCTTAACACAGCAAGAGTGCAAGTAAAAGGTTGCACTGCAGCCTCAGAAGTCTCCAACACACAGTCCCGACGCATATATCCTAAAGGGTTTAAGCAGGCAGAAGAAGAAGAAGAAGAAGAAGAAGAAGAAGAAGAAGAAGAAGAAGAAGAAGAAGAAGAAAGCCTTCCTCTGTAGATCTCTGCCTGAATAAGGACCTGTGTTGCAGCAACTCTCTATTGGAAAGACTACAGTTGAATTCTTCCAAAATCTTGTGGGTTTCCCCCCTCCCCCATTCCACTGTAGTTCAAAGCAATTTGCAAAACCACACAAAGTATTTGAACACCTTGCTTCTATGATTTTTTAATATATATAAATAGGAACTGAATACAGTCAAACTGAATGCAGACAACCAAGGCGTGGCTTAAGATTGGCTGCAGGAGCTTCCTGCACTCAAGTGGAAGCTGCGTCGGACTTTTGGATTCTGAAAAGTGTTTGAAAACCGCAACACTTACTTTCGGGTTTCTGGCATTCGGGAGCCGAAACGTTCCAAAACAGAGGTGTTTGGGAACCAAGGTTTGCCTGTACCCACTTCTCATAAATATATATAAACTACATCAAAACCCCACCCCACCCTAGCCTGGTCGTCTCTTTAACCAACGGCAAGGCTTATGAACCCATGATTTGTTAATAAACGCAGCAGGTAGTGAGTGGGGAGAGGTCATTCTCTTGAGATAGTCTGTTTTTCCTTGCTTGCCCAGTTCCGAAGTAATGGAAATGCCAAGAATCGGACTATAAGATCTGTAGGGGGGGGGGGGAGAGAATGTTTTCAAGGAAAGAATTTAGTAAGAAGAAAATTTAAATGTTAGAATTTGAGACTTATTATTCTACCAATTGTAATTAAAGTTAACTAGGAGAAATAGCCATGGTGGAATGATGGAACAACTGCATTCACAGGGCTGGAAATACCCCAAGCAATTGTCTAGAAACTAAGAACTGGGAATGCAGAGTGTTGGTATCTACAGTTTTGACTCTTTTGAAATATTTTCCCCACCCAAAGCATATAGTATATGGAAAGATGGTTTGGTTTCTCAAAGTTTGATCAACTCATGTGCTTGAAAGAGGGGGCACCACTTTAAAGCCACTGTTCACATCTTCATCATTTCTTCCTTGCCTCTGAAATGGCCTTTATGGTGTGATTGTGCAGTGTGATCCCAAATCCTTCCAATCCTCATTCAAGTTGTTCGCGCATCAATCAAGGCCTAGCCTGTCTAGGGAATAAAGCTCTGCTCATCCCCTCCCCTCCCTTTGGTTCGCTTGCAAACAGATCTCTTTATGCTGCTTCAGCTGTTTCGAGCAACTCACAAGTGGCAAGGTGAGGAGAGAAAATTACAGGCACGGTAAAAACAGTGCTGCGCTTGCAGCTAAAGTAAAAGGGTGTTTCTCACATCACTCCCATTAAACAGAACAATTAGTTAAACCCAGCAAAAATAGTTATTACCGGTTCCAGCTCCAGCCACCTTGGGACTGACCCCAATAACAATTCAGCATTGAGATACTACAAATTAGATTCAGTGACAATACACACAGCATAATGTTAGATGTGTTGATGGTGGAGACACAGCATTACGGGTAGGGGCTCCCTCCTTAGTGTTTATTCACAACACTAGCATTTTCTGGGGTGTTCCATTAGTGTTCTTCATTCCCCCTAACAATGGCTCCACTTCTAGATTTTTATGGACACCATATAACTCTAAAGGTTAGTGGGAAAGGACTTGGAAGTCATGCTTATTCCACCTCAGCAAGACGTACTGAATTTCATCCAACGCTGGATGGCATTCTAGACTGGTGAGCAAACAAAATAAATAATGTGTATTCTACATTTTCAGAAGAAAGGAAAGATGTGGCACATTTCAATTTAGGAATGTATCACAACAGAACATGAGGGGCTGTCATATGACATTCCCTGGCATCACAAAATGTTTGTTTATGGAAAGCTAATATGTCAAGCAGACTGGGGCTGGTTTTCTTCCTTACCTGCTAATCTTTTTTGTGCAGGTAAGTGAGGCAAGACTTACCTTTGTGCCTTTTTGTACTCTAAACCAGGCACGGGGAACTTTTAGCCCTTAAGCCCAGTTAGGCCTGTGAGAGGTCCTAATCTGGCTCAGAAGGCCATGCCCATGCTTGAGATCACACCTGCCATCAGGTGTAGAACCAGAAAAGCCGTGCCTAGAAAGGAGCAAGGAGTGTTTACTCTGAATGTTCTTCTGCAAGTGCAGCTTCCTTTTAAATGCAGTGCTAAATGTAAGACTACTGGGCCAGCTCCCAATCAGAGCTTCCGAGTGGAACCAATGCTTGCCACAATCAAGAGTTTACCTTTGGTGCTGAATTTAAATTGCACTCAAGCCAGGCAACAAAGGAAAATTTTCAGATGCAGCTTGAATCCAAACCACCCCTGCAAAGAACTAGGAAAAGACTCCTGATTCTCTCCTTTGAAACTGAGTCATCTGAAACCAGGGTGTTGTCAGGTGATCTGACAGATGGGGTAGGTGGCCTACCAACCTGTCCAAGTGAGGCACAAGGGAAAGAGGGGTCTGGACCTGGCCTGGTGCCTCCACAGCTCTACACTACGAGTGCAGGATTTTTGAAGCAATAGTGGAGGTGAGCAGAGCAAAGTATCTCTCTGATCTATGCCCATGGGGAAGTGTCCAAGTCATGCCATCTGTTCCCTTTCACCATCGGCCAGTGAGAAGTGCTGATAAAGACATAGGAGGTACAGCGGGTATCTCCACTGCTCCCCACTGTAGTCCTCCTTGAATCAAAGCACCCCATGTCTTTCACGCAGAATGCACCAGAGAAGATGACATAGGCACCCTAGTTCTCTCTTCTCCAGAAACTGCCTCTTCTTCTGAAGGAGGTTACCCACAGCCTGGGAGAATAAAAGGCCTTACCATAGACTGCTTCATTCGTGAGAAGGATGAAGTAACCGAGAAGAGGGCTGAGTGACTTGCGGTGACTGAGGAGTGCATGTGTGCACACCGAGAAGACAAAATAGTTCACTATTTGTTATGAGCTCCCATTAATCTTTATCTGTCTTAGGCCACTCATTTCTCTTCTCACTCACCTCACACTCGTTATATCAAATCTGAAGAGGTCATGTATTATTTGAACTCCAAACATCTGCCATCAAATTATTTTTCTCTCCCGGTTCAGTGACCTGTGATTCTGCATCGCTGACCAAAGGAGGGTTTATCTGCAGACAACAGACTTGTCAGTGGAACGCCTGTCTCTCTTAGCTTAAATGCTGTGGATTCATGATGCCTTTTGGTGGGGGGGGGGGGAGGGGGCTGAAAAATGCAAGAGCTACTCCACAGATGACAAGTTAAGAAGCTACTCCCACCTTTTAACTTGACCTGGACAATCCAAAATAGGTACTTGAGATGGTAAGTGATCTGTTAAATTATGTCAACCGCTGAAGTAACAGCAGAACATCTACAGTGAAAATGAGCAAATCAGTCAGATATGCTGTGATTTAATTATGCTGTCAGGAGGAAACAGTTCATCAAGCAATAATGATTGATTGCTGATTTCCCCCCAAGATGCAGCAGCGTTTTCTAGCTGAGAAAAAGAAGTGATCAACTCTGCTATCCCACTTTGCCCCTTGCTCTCTTGCTGGATCAACAGGCTCATGGGCAATGCTTTTAAGTGTCCATTTACTGATGTAAATGACACTGAAAAAATCCAAAAGTGCCAGTGACATCTACATGAATGCAGAATGAATTCATTATGATTGGCATCGTTACAACGAACAGCAAATGTATCCATAAGAGCAAGACATTTAAAAGTAATGGGTTTCCAGATTCCTTGTCCATAAAAGTGATAATGAGGAAACTCGTGTACTACATAAATTAGAAAAAGGCTCGCAAACTGGCAAAGTGCCATTTCAAGGTGTGGGGAGAGGAGTTCATATGCTGATTTCTCTTTAGGAAGGACAGAATTAGGCCTTCTTCAGAAGGCAGCTTCCCCAGGGACTGTAGCATCAAATGTAAGATAGAGCTGGGGGAAGAGAGACATGGGAAAGAGGGGAGAGAGTGAAAGATTTGGCTGCTCTCCAAGTGATCGTGCCACAAGTGCTAATCTTGTGAGCCTCCTTGACTAAAAGAAGGTGGATACAGTTTGAATAAGAGACACTGATTCAAGGTGTCTTATCCTTGCAAACTCTTCCATCTGTATGTGACCTTACTGTTTCCTCTTCTACTGTGAGCTGCTTGGTTTTCTAGCTTCAGTGATTCTAACCAACAGACAGTGTGCTATAGTGGCTAGTGTGTCAGTCTCAGACCTGGAAACCAAATCCCCAATCGGCCATGGAGCTCAATGGGAAGAACCTTGAGCTCCAGGGGTGGGGTGGGGCGATATAAATGCAATAATAAATAGATAAATGTTACATTTGGCATCTCTGGTGTAGGAGCTCATGAGTAGATTGCTAGGCTGATGCTCTTGAGTATAATGGACACAAGGTGTGTTGAATGGTTGTGGGAACCTTGTGTTGGTAGGTGCCTGAATGAAGGCAACCTTGTGTTGGTAGGTGCCTGTATTTCAATGTTTGGGAAGAACAATATTTAGGGAAATGGTCTGAAGACAGACCCAAATACAAACCTTCCAAGAGCCTTGGGAAAACAAGGCGCTCTCATCTGCAATATGTTTCCAGTCAGATCTTTATCTACAGTGACTTGGGAGATATTGAAAGGTGGCTACATTTCGTATATGATTTCATACTGAGCTTTCAGCAAACCACAGGCAGTTCCATGAAGCACTGGGTATAGGAGTTTGTCCTGCCATTTGTCCTTCAGGAGAAGGCTTCTGATAAGTTTTTAAGAGGAACTCCAGGAAGTCTATGCTGACATTAAAAATGGATTTTGCTCACAAACCTGGCTACATGAACTCTTCCGGCTGCTATGAATATTGATTGAAAACCTTTTAATTGGTGAGGGACTGTAGCACTCAGAAGACTAATGCGTACAGTTTGATGATCCCAGATTTTGTATAGTTTCCTATATATTGATTACATTTGGAGCCTATAGCCTTAGGTTGCCAGAGTGCTCTTGTCCTTGCTTGTCCTCATGACAACACAACACAATGAGATATTTCAGTTTTGTAAATGGGAACTACAGTAAGGTTGGGAGAATATGACTTTTGCAATCAAGTCCATTTCTATGCTCAAACTAGCAAAGTATCTAATTTACACTCCATCCAGTAGAGTAGATCATTCATGAAAGACCGGTCCATATTAGGACTTCAACAGTGTGCAGAACCACCTCACTTCCCAGCTATATCCATATTTAGGGTTGTACATGCATGTACACAGAAGTGTTAGCAATTTTTCAGCAGGCATGAATCAACCACATAGCTTCCTTCATTATAAAGAGAAACCTTCACTGCATACTTGGCAGAGATTTAAGAAGTGTAGCTCTGATGTGTATATCAGAATTATTCACTCTTTTTGATTAGTGTCCCATTAGCTCAGCTATACGGACCAGGTCACTGAATTCTGCTTCAGCAGTATGCAACATTTCGCTTCACCTGCAAGGATGCTCTGCCAGAAGCCCAGATATTTTTCCACGCTCTTTACTATCAGTAAAACACAGCAATGGTTGGGAGGGGACTGTTACTGTGCTTTCAAGTTTCAAATTATTGTTTGTTACAGGTTTCAAAGAAGAAGCGGAGGCAGCGGAGGGAACTACTGTAACTAGAAAAGGAAACAAGCAGGAACACTGAGAGTCCTTTCTGCCTACTAGCATAAAACACAACTAAATGGACATTCCCAAACTGCCAAACTGGTGTGCATCAAAGCTGATATGACTTTTCACTCCAAAGACACATTACTCCAAAGACATATTGCCATTTGTGCACAGGGTCTGGAACAAAATAACTCCACAGTCAGCAGAAAAACTCATTTGTACCTCAGTAAGAACTGTTATTATTACTATTACACTACCTGACTACTCATTTCAAATAAATTATCACTTTCAATAGACAATATTAAAAGAACAAATTAATACACAGATAATTAAAAATGGTATGCAAGTGTTTCCAGCTGAACCAAGAAAGCAATATTTGAGCTAAAAACTCAGCTTAGCTTAGCTTCAGCCCTGCTTATAAAGGAAGCGACAGAATTTTAAGAAGCTAAAACAGACATATCTTTTGAAGAACAAAGGATTTGTTTTATTACTCAGGTCAAATCAAGTGCATTAACAGCAAACCAAGAGGGATTTCTTCACAAGGGAGAAACACTACAGATGGCCCAGGCTGTACCATGGATTAACTCAAATGCTGCATGTAGCAGCAAGACATTAATTTGTTTGCAGGATCAAACATCTCAGGAATAGCAAATGCAAAGTCAGAGATTAACCAAATCACCAGCAAGAGAGAAGGGCATGGGAAAAGGCATTTTCCAGAGAGCAGTCTGGAGTCAAAGTGTATTTTACTACTGGCAAAACTCACCTTGATTAAAGTTGGGCTTCATAAGGTCAGCAAAAAAACCCTTCACCTAGTGATCCTGAATCCAGTAGAAAACCACAGTATTTTTACCATGCGCTGGACACTGTAGAACATATTCTCTTCTACTGTCCATTGTACAACCAGCTACACAAACACATGCTGTCCCCTTTTTTTGGGGTAGTCTAACATCACAGCACAATGAAAATATCAGATTCTATCTGTCTGACATTAACCCGGAAGTAACTGCAAGGGTGGCTGAGTTTTTGTCAACAATATCGCTTAGAGTGGTGAATGACACTATTTAGCGGGAAGAAATCCCAGTGAAAATCTCCGTTATTATATATTTTACATGGCTGTTTATTTGTATATACTTTAAAATTTTATATATGTTTTATGATGGCCTATACTTGTAATGCCTAATAAAGGTTTGGTGAAATAAATAAATAAGTAAGTAAGTAAGTAAGTAAGTATTTTTACCATGATTCTAGAAATCTATAAACTAGAAAAGCAGACTTAGAACATATGCATTTTTGATGATTTGCCTTCCCCTGTGCTTACTTCCTGCCCTGGATGTAGTTATACTCCCTCTAAAGGAGCAGGTCTGTAGTCTGTGTGTGCAGTCTGGTTTCTCTCTGTGTATTTTGTCACTGTGGAACTCAGTGGCTTAGAGCACCTTGCACCAGCTGCAACTGGTACATCAGCTGTAGTGGTTCCTGGACCTGGATAGCTTAACTGCAGTGGTCCAGGAACTGGTAACTTCAAAATTGGAGTACTGGAATGCACTCTGCGTGGAGCTTCGCTTGAACTTGGTTTAGAAGCTGCAGTTAATGCAGAAGGCTGCAGCAAGATGGCTGACAGGCATGAGGACCTACTAGCATATTCCACCCTGCTGAGAGATCTGTATTGGCTGCTGATTTGTTACCAGGCCAACATTAGTATATAAAGCCCTCGGCACCTTGGGACCAGTTTACTTGAAGGATCATCTTGCCTCATACATGCCCCATGCATGCTTTCATCTGTGGAATTTACACTTTAACAAGAACCATAAAATGGTTCATGCTACATCTGCAATGAATCAATCTTTTAATGTGGCAGGACCTATTTTCAAGAACTCTCTGCCTATTAATGTCAGGCAGATCCCTTTATTGTACTGCTTTTGACACCTGCTAAAAACTTCTTCATTTTGGCAAGCCTACTCAGTCACGTAGTTTTGCCATGTATACTTGTTTTTAAATTCTATTGATTGTATCTGGATTTTTATAAATGTATTTAAAAGTATTAACTGTTTAGAAGTTAGTTTGTTTTTGATTTAGCAGTTTATTTCGTTGTTGTTGTTCAAAAGTATTTTCCATGTGATTTAAAACAGAACCACCCAGATATCACAACTTTTACCATTACTGGCCTCAATGCTCTCTTTAGCAATGACGAACTTTCACAAGCAAAGAAGAGCCAAGGTGTTTTATTTCTGATAACAGTGGCATCCAGGAATCCTCATCAAAATTCAGCCCTATTGCTTGAGGCAGCAACATTAACAAATCCTGTCCCAAAGAGCTCATACTTTATTTCAATATGTAATGTGTTTTATCAGAAAGGCTCAGGGAAAGTTGCATAAATATTTACACTTCTGTATAAAAGAAGAAGAAGAAGAAGATCCCCAGCTCCACAGGCATGCCACCTTATTTTTATTCTATGAGAGACGTCTTAAACTCAAGCCCAAGAAATTCATGGTTGGCCAAGGTTTCAAACTCGGTCTTCTCTGTTCTAGCATTATAGCCACTGGACCTAAACATTCCCTTTCAATCACTGACTTTAAAACGCAGAGATTTTAGAGGAAAGAGGTTCAGTTTTGTGAGATGAAAGACTTACAGATGCACTTACAGAACAAAACTTCTGGCTGGTGCCTTTATCGGTTACTAAGTTTTATTAATAGGAAATGCAGCATGTGTCAAGCTTCCGCCAATCCACATAAGAGGGTTCTGAGGTCCTGCTGCTCCCTGCCCACTTAGAAGGTAGCTGAGGTATTAGTGTTACTTTCATCAGTTGAAGTGGCTTGGATTCTACAGAGCCAGTTCAGCACCCTCTCCTTTATCTTCCTCCCCGCAGGTAGGTAGGAGTAAGAGTGATCTAGAGTAATGAAGTTCAATCCTCCATTTCAGTCTCAATGACAGATGGGCATCACAATTAATTGGGGCTACTTTCAATATAAATGAGTAGCTATGCTTAATTAATAGGGGGGTTATTTGTTTTGTTCTTGTTTTGATTATGCATTTTGTGTTTTATGTTGAATTTTCATGCTGTGAACCGCCCTGAGATTTATATATGAAGGGTGGAAAACAAATTTAATAAATAAATAAAGTAATTTGAAAGCCCTTTACATATTCAAATATTCACTTTTAACAGGGCGGGAGAAGTTACATTTGTGATTGCGGGAGATTGTGGCGGCAATATGGAAAAATTCACTGCTGGGGCTGCAGCTGTTTCTGAGAATCATGCTTCTCTCTCTGTCTCTCTCTCTATACAAGTTGACAGAGAGATCATTCTCTTCATTAACTATCTGCTCAGGTTCACATGCATGTAGGTGATGATGATGATGATTTTAAAAAGGTAACCTTTCAAGGACCAGCCACTTTCCACACCATATGATAAGGAAAGACATTACGGTCCACATAACTAAAGAGTCTACCATTTTTTATCGCACTTCGTAGTGGCATGTAGCATGGAATACCACTATAAACAAGGGAGAGAAGCATTTCGTGCCCCATGAGCAGCACCCGTGTTTGCAAAAAAAATACCAGTATTTATTTTTATTCTATTTTTTGATATTTTTGTATGCTTCACTCTGGAGCACAAGGCAGCCTCACATAAGAAACTATTGAACAACCTTCTAAAATAAACAACAGTCACAAAATATTTACATTTCATTAGTAATATGGCTGCTGCAAATGAAAGGAATCAGCTTGTATGCATGAACCACCGCTCATTTCCTGTTTTAGAAGGTACAAAGACAGAACTGGGAACTGGAGTACTGCGTGCCCTCAGGTCTCTGTTAACAGGTCTTTTGCCCTACAGGAGCTGACAATTACCAACACAAAACTAGGTTGTGAGAGGCCTAGACAATTGCGTGTGTGTTAAAATGATAAGGCAAGACAGGAATCCAGTGTGATAACATAAAGAAAAATATAAGATCAGGATGAGTAACAGATGATGATATTGTCTGGAACGTATCAATTTGTTTAGAGAAGGCTGTGCATGATGCCGAATAAATGAAAGGATGTTTCAGGAATCTCGGAACATAAATGTTTATATCCTGTAAAAATAAATGGCCACAAATAAGAAGGGAAGGATCAAGTGCGGATTAGTTGCAGTATACAAACTCAGAGGCCTAGCGGTCTTCACCCCTCTTTTTAACTGCAGAGCGGGTAATTAAATTAGCAAAGGCATCTGTGATAAATGTGTGCAATCACATGAACTCACCACGAAATAAAAAAGGACAAATGCTTCAATAATTAAGGACCAGAATTAGGCCAATCACCAGAAAGGGGGACAGTGTGCAAGTATACTGAAGTAGAACAGACTTGGTTTCTCTCTGTGTGTGTATTTTGGTTTGTTTTACAGAAACGCATCAAGCAGTAGAGCATTTTAGTTTGTACCATGTATATGAGTGATTTCCTACTGCAGATTACACAGGTCTGGTGCTGAGACACTCTAATTATAGTCCTGTTTCAGGGCATACAGTGAGGCCACCATTTAGACCTCACTGCTTAATTTGTGATTGATCAAACCTAGTCATGTACTATTGAGACTTTCACTCCATTCCTGAATTCAAGGCAGGCAATAAACCAGAACTATAAAGCATCTTGTAGGCTGCTATATCTAACTCATGGACTGTATTTGGCTTGGTGGGTTCATACACTTATGCATGCCTTACTGGGCATAGCACAACTTTAGCATTTCAGACTGAAGCAAAGTTTGAAAACCAAATGGAAGCAAAAGAGGACAGATGGTAACTAGAAGAAAAACAAAAAGTTGGCTCTTTTGATTGGGGTTTTTGCACTTTATAGTCTTTTCCAGGAAATACTATTTGTTCATAAAAGAAAAGAAAGAAGAATGGCTGCTATGGGACAGTATTTATTATGTAGTTCTTTTCTACATGAGGCAGGCATGTGTGTAGATAATTAGCACTATGTTCTAAGTTTGGAAGTAAATAACATTGCATGTGCTCAACAACTTGAGTCCAGGATACCATAAGAACTGCCTGAGCCTTTATTATCTCAGCTCATTCACTGATATTTATCTGGAAGAGCACTGATAGTTGGCCTCCATGTTTCAGAGGCCCAATTGGCCTCAACTAGAAGTTGGGCATTTAGAGCCACTGGTCCCATGATCTGGAACCCTCTTTCAGCAAAGATCTGGCAGGGATGCTCACTTTTTACTTTCAGGCATCTATTGAAGATTTTTTTATGCTGACAGGCCTATGTAGCTGTTAGAAGCATTTTTGACTGGACAACCATTTTATAATTGTTTTGCACTGATTTTAATGATGTTTTGTGTTTTATTGTTGTACGCTGCCCTGACATTACAGTATATAAATGGTAAGTATTTATTTTTTTAAAAAACCTTTATAAAAAATAAATTGGTGCACTCTGAACATCTTCTCAAATCTAAAGATCACAGTGAGCTTCCATCTTGTACCAATTTCAATACTGTTTTTGCTTACATACTTATAAGCAATTCACAGCAGATCCATCCAAATCTTTCAGTGGAGATAAGCAGCCTTATTTATGCTAGCACAGCTGTTCTATACAACATAAGAGACATTATTTTGGATACTAGAGGGATAATGAATTTCTGCCTCGAAATGCCATACCTATTTGTTTAGATTCACAGTGACAGATAGAGCTATCCAAATTACCAGTCTGCCATGCTGGATGTGGTTGGGGTGGAATGGAGATGATTTCCTGCCCAGTCCTGCTCAACTCTGCCAGACTTTGCCAGCAGGGAAGCACTGCTGTCATCAAGGAAGCCCCAGTGGTGTGGAGCATCCTGTTATGTCCACCCAAATGGTGGGTGGGCAGGCAAAAGCTACCATTCAGGAAACCCCCGACAGTGCAAGCCATCAGAACAGCCCCTGAACAGGCCATTTCAGGAATGGGAATGGGAAGGCACAGGTTGTGCTCGATCCGATAAAGACCCTGCTGTTGTCATGTGACAAGAACACACCGAAACTGGGCCTCTATGCTTCACCAACCTGGGAGTGGTGCCCCATATTCACCTGTTGGCCTTGCCAGCATGAGTTCCAGGGCTGTGAATGTGGCACTGCTTGCGCTGTTCCATCAAGTCATTCTGATGCCAACCAGGGGTTATGATTCCATCTTAATTTTATAAGATTAGACACCATAAAAAGAAATGTGTTTCTACCCATTTCCAAGGCTTTGACAGCAGGCTGCCTATACCAGGTTTCCATAGAGCCTCCAGGGGTGAGATTTACTTTATAATGAGTTGTGCCAGAAGATGTTTATTAATAGCCTCTTTGACAAAGTATTTTTACCAACAGGTGGCCTAGGTGTTCGAGGATATGATGAGGAGTAATGCAAGCAGCAAGCAGCCCTGGCTGTTCCTGGCTGTCTTTGTTGAGTGACCAAAGTCATTCTTTGCACTCTTCTGCTTTCTGAAGCCTCTTTGTGCTCATTTACTGTGTCCTTTCGGTACTTAGAACTCAGCAGGATGAGCTGAGAGATGATGATCCACAAAATCTATTCAAAAAAAGTGCTTTGTGAAGATGAGGCTTTCTAATGAAAAAAGCTAAATCTGATCTGGGTAATGATATTTACAATTTATACACCAATGTCATTTAGCAAATAAGGAACTGGCCTAGAAAAACAATCCAAAAAGACCTACTTCTAATCAATAAGTATAACCACAACTCTGAACTCCCTGACACACAGAAATATAGTTCATACAGGTCAGAATGTGAAATGGTTTTTTGACTGATGAAATAGTGAAATTGAATGTAAGAAGATAATGGCTTGGATCCTAAATTGTTCCTCTGTTCACGTAAGGGGTGGGGAGGGGTGATTCCCATCTAATCTCTGCTCCACCTGCACCTCCTAGGACCATATATCAAACCGTTTTCATGGTCCTCCCATCCCAAAATGAACTCTGTCCTGTACAAGGAAGGAAAATTAGGATCCAAGTCAATGTATTTCTTTAGAACAAAAGGACAAATACATCACCCTAACAGCCTCCTGTGTTTTGACCCCTGAGCTAATCTTATTAAGAGACAGGTTACTAGGCCCTTTGTTGGCAAATGGCACATTAATGAGATCTCCTTGAAATAATCCCATCTCTACTACGCAGAGAAAATTACATTTTCCAGTATGATTATTATGTCACTCAAACACCTCAACTCCAGCATTCAGTGCTTCTCTCCAAATTATAGCGTAGCTTGCCAGGCAGCAAATAAAACCTCTGAAAAAGAAGGGCTTTTTGGAAGAGGGGGGTACAAGGAAATAAAAAGCAGGGGATGCAATAGAGGGACTATGGCAAAGTTAATTGCGCTTTTAAATGAAGTCCAACACAGTGATGCTTTGTTAGTTGAGTCACACAGATCCCTTTGTCTGAAGCAGGAGTCTAAGAAACAGACCAACAGCTTGGGCAGAATTAGGTCACTGCCTTCACAAAAACGACATTCACCAGCATAAAACCATTCCTCAGGAACCTCTACAGGCTTTCGCACGCGTGTCTCATGAAGGTAAGTGTGCTACAAAACTCACCTTAGCAAATAGCCTATATGCCATTCTACCTATCAAGATGACTTAAAAGGTTATGATTAGCTCATTTGCACTGCAACGTTCCTCCAAGGAGCTTTAAGTGACTTTTATACAGTCTATCCCCTTGTATCATTACAAAAGCCGGGAGAGAGGCTAGATTAAGAGGTGATGATGATTTTGGGAACTGAAGCTAAAGGTTCTGGCAGTAGAAATCTGCAAGCGGAGAACTGTCCAAATTTCTACAGTGAAACTTCTACAGGTGGCGAGATAGTGGTGATGCAGCTTTCAACCCAACACAGACTAGGGTCTCATTGATTCTCAAGCTCTTGATTCTGGATGGGCTTCCTGGTTCAGGTGTAGACAGGTTGTCCAATTCCTTCACTGAAACACCTGACTTGCTCCAAGTCCCCAGTGAGCTTCACGGTCAAAAACAAATCTGACCCCAGGTCTTCCTGGCCTAAGTCTGCCAGCACTACACAGAGAATGGATGCTAATCCATACCAGCAGCATCCCTCCCTTCCTCCATTCTTTTATATTATGTTAGTCCCCTTTTCAGCAATCAGATGAGCTAGTTTAGATGGCAGGCTGGATCATTATCTCCCCTACCTCTCACATGCCCAGTTTGACAGGAAGGCATCAGATGTTGGCTGGGTGCAGCTTGGCCAAAATCGCCTTTCAGGTCAAGTGAGGAAACCTGGTGGGTTTAATTAGGTTCCCCGCCTGCGAACTAAATATTGCCATGCTCCATTTTATTTCCAGGACACTGAAAGATATGGGATACTTATTTTATCAAGTATCTATGAGAAAGGCAGCAAGCATCAAACCCTCATCAGGATACCCAAAAAGCCCACACTACAATTTTATTCCTAGTCAACAAATGCAGGCTACCACTCCCATGGCCAGAGGGAGTAATACCATGTTGGGACACCATGTTGGATATTCCTGCCTTAATATGCAATTGCTAAGACAGATCAGAAGTACAGCGTTACCTTGCCAAAGCATTCAAAAACCAAGGTGCGCTTTCCTATAGAAAGTAATGCAAAACTGCTTGATCCGATCCAGACTTTTAAAAACAACCTCTAAAACAGCAATTTAACATGATTTTTATTATCTAATGAGATTGTTGATCCATTAAATGAAAGCAATAATCAATGTACTGAACTATGTATTGTAGATGATAAAAATTAAAATTAATTCTTTTTCTTGCCCACACTGATGATAAGTCATTGTTTGGATGGGGGGCTTTTATCCATTTCTGCAGTCACGCAATCAAGCAATCAGTAGCTGAACTGAGTTCCACACAGTCACAAAACCAAATTAACCGAAAAAGCCTCAAAAACAAAAATGCAAAATAAATAGCAAAAACAAAAGTGGCAAACTTAATCCGTTCCAGAAGTCCATTTGACTTCTGAAATGTTCGAAAACCAAGGCACAACTTCTGATTGGTGCAGGTGCCCCAGAAACAATAGCCAACAACCACATTGGACGTTTGGCTTCCGAAAAACATTCGAAAACCGGAAAACTTACTTCCAGGTTTTCGGCGTTTGAGTACCAAGGCGATTGAGAACCAAGGCACCACTGTACAGCTGTGTACGTGCAAATATTTACTGGGGCGCAATCCTCACTGTGAGGCAGGTGTGTGTGTGTGTGTGTGTGTGTGTGTGCTAGTAAGTGAGTGAGTGAGAGAAGGTGCGGGGGGGGGAGTGCCAACTAATCTGCATTCCGTGCTCTCCAACCGGGACATTTTGTGTTTGTCTTGTAAACGGACCATGTTGTCTACAGCACTCCAGGCGCTACCCCTTTTCTAATGATTTTTTGCATGCTGCCCTTCTGAAAGGTGAATCCCTCCCCCGCCAGCCCCCCCCCCAAGGAGCTCATTTACCCTGCTTGAAACTACATTATCTTGCATTTCGCACCACTTTGCAGACTGCAGGGACTTAAATGGCTACGTGGGGTATGACACACCAACAGCATCTGCGCCCTGCCTTTTCATCTGCGCTGCACTCATATAATTACTGACTTCCCCTTTCTCCTGCAATTATCTCCTCTCTCCCGTCCCCCCTTAACGATCAGCTGCGGAATTAAGGCGATTTCCCTCACTCTTCCCTTGTTGCCATGACAACAACAACTTGCCTGCACCTGCTGCTAGATGAACAGTGACACTTTTTTGGGTGGCGGGGGTGGGGGAGGGTATGTGGAGGGAGGCAGAGAAATAGCCACAGTGGGAACACTTTCCTTCCTATTAGCAAAGCATGTGCGGTAAAATGTCAGGAGAGGGGAAGGAGTCACAGGAAGTGAAACGAGGGACTGTGAAATGAAGACACGCACCCCAAAATAAGTTTGTACTGAGCTTAGGAGGGATGTAATTTCTTCCTTTCCTTCTGATCCACAGACAGCCATTTAACACAATGGTTAGACCCAAGGTACATCCTGCATAAGTTTTCAAAAAAAAATATTATGAGAAATAAGCAGAATAGGGTCAGACAAGGCGGGGGGTGTCCTCCCCACTTTGCACGGCTGGACAAGCTTGCTGTCATGTAGGTTGTAAAAAAGAATCTCTCCAGAAGAACAGGAGTTCCTCTTTCAGGTCCACCATGAAGCTAGCCCTGATAAAATAGCCTTAGTTTGTAAACTTTAAATCTAACAAGGGGTAGTGGTGTCTTTCCCTTCATTTCCAAATGCTGTTGCTTCCCTGCTAGCCCTATAAAGCTCAATGGTGCAAGAGTACATGTCCCCACCAAAGTTGGGACTGCGTCTCCTCAGAAGGCAAGCCCCCAGTATGATATTAAGGCACAATCCCAGCCACGCAAAAGTAAGTTCAACTGAAGTGGGGCTTACTCCCAGGTAAGTGAGTTTAGGATAGGAACCTTAAGTCTCTGGGTACCCTGAGATAGAACTCCCTTCATCACAGGTGACCTTCTGCCCAATGAACTAGGCGTCAGAGTCCAACAGAGCTTACCTGCAAGCATGAGGAGTTTCTACAAGTACAGTGACTGTGTTAAACTGGAGCTTTTAGACCTAGAGGCAGATCCTGTTCCCAGTCCTGTGCCAGGTGCTTCAGGCATGTTTGCATCCCTGTGCAACACCTTCCCCCCTCCCTGCTCCCTCAACTGGGGCCTTGGTCTCCCAGCCACTTTCATCTTAGCCATATTAAACATAGTTAATAATGATGGTGATGATGTATCTGGAGGCAAAGACTGCCCTTCCCTTGCTCCCTGCCCTTTCACGCTCCAGAGAAACACAACCCAGTTGTTTATGTCTTCTCCAAAATGCTTGTTTTATTTACAGGAGCAATCCTTCAGGTTACTTCAAGGACAAAACTGTGGTTTTGTGAGTTGCTCCAGTGACAAAAGGAGTACAGTGGAAATTACATACATATCTAGTTTTTTAAAAGAGAGCTACTGATAGCAGCATTTCTGTGTATAAATTCTTCTGCCAATATGAAATTTGTCAAAGTCAAAGATCTGCTGGAGAATCTCCATGAATGATAAAATTGGAAAAACTTGTTACCCAAGTAGGACATGGGTATGCTGAGAATCCCCATGCTAGCAAGGAGTTAATAGCTGGTCCAGCAATATGTATTTTTAAAAGCCCATGACAAATGTTTCATCTGCGCAAGCATTTCAGGGTGAGGACAGGGAGGAAAGTCCTGTAGCACGTGCAGAAGTCCTTGTGTAAGGTTTCTGCTTGTTAGCTGAATCCTGCCCACAAAGTGCATTTATCTATATTTATCTATAGCCTTCCCCGAACATGCAAGGCTAATAAGGGGGATTGATAAAAACGTCCCTGAAAATGCAGACTGCTCTTTAGACCTTTGCTTGTTTGGCATGAAGGTCTGGAGAGGGTATCTAAGTGCTGCTAAACACACTTAGAAACCTCCCTGCAATCAAAAAGCCTGATAAGACAACACATGAGATTTCTAAGCGTGTTCATCACAACACATGTAGGAACCTTTGGCAGAGCTTTTTGCTGAACACAAGGAGTTCCAAAGAGGCGCGCTGGAGACATGTGGGAGATAGGGAGCCTTGCATGCACACCCTGACCCTTTGTTTAGCCCTCACATGCTCAGGTAAATACCCGAACCGAAGACAGATTTTGTGCAGCTCAAAAATTTAAAAAATCACACTTTCAGCCTTTGGAGTACAGTCGTACCTTGGTTCTTGAACGGAATCCATTCCAGAAATCTGTTCGACTTCCGGAAATGTTTGAAAACCAAGGCGCAGCTTCCAATTGGCTGCATGAGCTTCCTGCACTCAAGCGACGTTCGGCTTCCAAAAAATGTTCGAGTACCAAGGCATTCGAAACCAAGGTATGACTGTATTAGTTCATATAACAAGCAAAATACTTGGGGCAGTGGCACAGGATAGGGACTTTTCAGTAGTGACACCCTATTCCAATTATGGGCTCCCCTTCGAAGTATGTCTGCTGCAGAGGTTTACTTTTTGGTGGCAGCTAAAGACACATCACTTTGCCCAAGCCCCTGAGTAGGTACGGAGTTCACATATCAGTTGCTATTGCTTGCTGTTAATACTTGGGTGTTGCTGTTTCTTACATTCTGTATTTTATATGTTTCATTTGATAGTTTTATTGTTCTTTTATGTTAACCTGCCCTGGGTTAACAGGGGCATAAACTGAATTATTAAACAATACTGGATTAATACTAAAGCTGCTGTCACCTTACTGTATTTTGATTTCACATTTCTTACAACTGTTGTCTCTCAAAGTGACTCAGTTACTACTACCAGTCATAGTAGTACCAGCCATGTTGTGTATTTGTTGTTGTTCTATATATATAAGACCAACATGGGTCCTTTGATTCATCATGAACATCGGAAGAAGCTTTTCAAAGCATTACCATGGCTTCAGATGGAAGCAATGTATTAAGAATCATGGTCCCTTTGTGTTCCACAGCAAGTATAGGCCATCTATTCAGTGGATTCCAAGCACACCCAGCTGCTGTGTCCCCTGAGATGACAGATAAATTTGACAAAGGACAACCTTTTTTTCTCCGATGCTATTCTAAAGATATCTGCTGGTGTCAACTCAAGTCTCCTGAGCACTGCACTCTATGGGACACAATACAAATGACTGCCCAGAATTAGACATCTCAGAAACCAAAATGAGGCCACATAGAAGAGCCCATTTAATCCTCAGTCCTAAAACAAAAAGGGACTTTCCCACTTTAGCTCTTATTTTCAGATACTTGCATGTTATACTCAATTACAACAAATCTATATTTTCTCTGTCTGCAATTTGAGGGTGATAATGATGCCTGCCTCAGATGGCTGTGGCAAGGATTACTGAGATAATGCACAGGAAGTGATTTGAGCACCTGAAATGTGCTGTAGAAATAATAAGGATCACCAATCCCATTCTCAAATCACCTAGATATTGGGCTGGTTACACGAGGGGATTTACAGAGCCCTTTTAGGGAAAGATAAAGTCACCTTCATTGCTACGATAAAATTCTAAAACCTCCCAGTGCAGACATTCTAAAAATTGCGGCCAGCTGTCCAAGCAAATTTGTGATAATCAGCTTTTCCCCTTTTCATTCACAGAAGCTGCTACTACATCAATGAGGAGACACACAGCTAGATATAACCTATTGCCCCAACATGCCTATACTGAAGTGTGCCTTGCTTTGATTTAAAGAGAGACGTTTGTCTCCCTCATTATACTAGACTCAATGAATGGCGGGAGAGTCAAGACTCAAGACAGACAAAAGGACACACCTTCTTCATACCATGCCTACTTAAAATCTATTGCATCCCGCTACCAGATGGTGACCCGCAAATGGTCACCATCTTAGACGGCTTTCAAGCTGGATTAGACCAATTCATGAAGGATAAGAATTTCACTGGCTACTAGTCACGATGGCAGAACAAGCTTTGAATATCAATTTCTGAGGAGCAGCAGCAGAATCCTGCATTGCTCATGTCTTGCTCTCGCATTTTCCAAAGGCAACTGGCTGCTGTAGGGAAGTAGGAAGGAAAGAGTATGATGGATTAAATTGGCTCTTGGCCTGATCCAACAGGGTTCTTGTTATATTTTGTAAAGCAGTTATGTTTGAGGATTCAATACTAGCCCCTCTGGTTTCCCCTTCTGCCATGTAGACAGGAACCACAATCTCATGAAAGCTATACAGTTCAGATTGCAACTGTAGCCGAAGCTAAAGCAGTTTCTACAGAGGGGCAGTGGAGATATTATAAGCATCTCAGTAACTGTGAAGTGCTCTTTCCCTCCATTCTTTGTAACTATCCTGATTCTTTTTGCAGGGGGGTAGGGATTAATTCACTCCAGTCACTCTGTTTACTCATTCCATCTGGCGCATGTATGGCCAAAGTTCATTTCTACATAATGAGATTAATAAAAACATGTAAGTTTTCATTTACTGATGGAGTATGCCACGTGGAACTAAATGCAAGCTCAATATAGTTTTTCTGCCTTTTTCCCCAGTGAGAAAAGAGTAATACTGCTTCTGGAAATCAGTATACTGTAAAACAGTATACTACTTGAACATGCTCATTCTTTCGCCATTTTCAGCTTCAATCTTTCATTGTTTTAAATCTTTTAGAAGATCCTTAATTGGAAAGGAAAGTCAAGAGCAGCAGTACTCTAAACCCAAGCAATGAAGAAGAGGGCTTTCAGAATTAACATATAATATAAGTAAGCACAGAGGGAGTGATTACAGGTTAGACTGCATTCGCCTGGCAACATACTGAAATGTACAAAACCTTTTTTTGGATCATTAAGTTGTTAAATGATTAATCACAAAGTTCTGCTTGCCCGTTGTTTGAGACCATTAGCGCCTGAATTCTGAAATGCAATGTACCTATAGTGGCACAAAGAAGAAATAAAGCATTGCCAAGAAAGGATAGATAATTGGTCTGCAGCTGATGGGTCAGGACCCAATACTGGGTTGCAGACTGAACTACAGGCATCCCGCACTTACGTGCTTTCGACTCGTGCACGACTGTGCATACGTGTAGCGCCGGGAAATAAATAAGTAGATTCAAACCAGGAAATGGCAAGAGAGAGTTGCGAGAGTCCTCGTGGGTCATGAGAAGACTCTCCTCAGAGCCCAAAGAGGACTTCAGTGAGGGTGAAGAAAGCCCCAAAGAGACCAGAGGCACAGTGGGGCTTTGTTTAGGCTGCTCGGCCTCCCTGCCTAGCAGCTGATGCGAGTGGCAGTGCAGCAGCAACAGCCATTGTTCCGCGCTGTCCCCAGCGTGGCACAGAGCTTCAACTGTAGTTGAAGAGAGTTATGTGGAGAGAGGACAAAAGAGAGAGCTGGAGTCTTGGGGGGGGGGGGGAAGGCATCAAGAAGCTTTTAAGAGGGTGCTCCCACTGCCTGTATGGTAGGTTGCAACATACAGTTCCAGCACCATACAAATGTATTGTTAAAACCTTAAGTAATGGGTGCCCAAATGCATGTTTGGGCTGAAGATGGGTCCTGGATTTGAAAAGGTTGAAGACAGAGGTTATTCTTGTTGTTTCTAATGTGCCTACATCACTGGACCTACACCTAGTTACGCTGCAAAGGAACACTAATGAACACTAAGAACATAGTACTGGATATGCATTTGCCCTGAAACAGTGACTATCATGAGGAAACATTATCACAATCTTTACTGGCATATAGTAGTTAAACTATTTTTTAAAAAAAGAAGAGCAGTCACTTTTTACATAGACAGAAAATACTCTTTCTGGATACTGTGGGTTTCTCCATGTCCTTTTTTTTGGAGGGTGGGGAATTGGCACGGATTTGTATAAAGGCCTACATGACATCTGCTTCATGAGAAAAGGGAATTTTATATCTTGGCAAATTTCTACGAATGCTTAGTTTATGCTCTTCTCAGAGGGAAGAATAAAAGGAAACAGCAAACAGAGGGGATTTCGGAAAATATCTAGGAACAGGAAGGGAAAGACAGAAAAGGACTGCCTAAAGTAATTAACTTTCTTGTTTAAAAATTTCCCTGTGGAAAAAAGGCCTTTAGAAAGGAGTGACTAAGCACTGGTTAAACCTCAGTTTTCATGCACATCAAATGGCTCTCACCTCAGCCAGTTCTAATCAAATAGAGATAGAGGCAGGACAGATGGAGAGACAATGGACAATTACTCCCTTGTGGGAGAGCCAGGCTATTAACTCAGAGCCAATCTGTGTAAGGTGAGTAGATTGGTCCCATTTGTAATTTCAGGTTCTGCTGGGATCCTGTTAACAATGTATTACTGTCACAGTGAGAAATTTAGTGAGACTAGGACTCCCCCTAAGGCTGCAGTGTTTAATGGGTGCCTGAAGTCTCTCTTGTGGAAGTGCTTTTAGTAATACCACTCCTCATTGCACTGAAGGGTAGGGAACAAAACAGTAAGACAACTAGCCATGGTAAAAAATAGCCTCTCATCAATACAGTAAACAATATAGTAAAGGTAAAGGGAGCCCTGACCATTAGGTCCAGTCGTGGCCGACTCTGGGGTTGCGGCGCTCATCTCGCTTTACTGGCCGAGGGAGCCGGCATACAGCTTCCGGGTCATGTGGCCAGCATGACTAAGCCGCTTTTGGTGAACCAGAGCAGCACACAGAAACGTCATTTACCTTCCCGCCGGAGCGGTACCTATTTATCTACTTGCACTTTGACATGCTTTTGAACTGCTAGGTTGGCAGGAGCAGGGACCGAGCAACGGGAGCTCACCCCGTCACAGGGATTCGAACCGCCGACCTTCTGATCGGCAAGCCCTAGGCTCTGTGGTTTAACCCACAGCGCCACCTGCATCCCAGTAAACAATATGCAATGCTGCTAAAACAAGTGCCATATTGACATGCAGGATTTGTCCCTGTTCATCCTACCCCAGTGATTCTCAAACCTTCAACATTCAGCATCCACTTACGGCGGCTGAAAACTAACAGGTCCCACCTAGAGATGCGAAGGACTGTTAAAAATGGGAAAGAGAACCATATTCTCCTCTCTCACTGCCATTTCCTCCAGCCCTTCACATTTCTAATCCCACCAGTCACAAAATGGTGGCAGATGCAGGCAGAGTTTAGCATAAATGGCTGGCAGTTTTAGATATTTTCTACTGATACCTAATTCTTTTTTCTTTTTTTTAAAGTCTAAATTCTTTGCCACACTGCTTTCCTTGTGGCAAGGTGCAACATAGATCAGCTGTCCTCAAGCTAAGTATTGACATTTGCTCTTGAGATATTATGACTCAGGCTCCCCCTTTTAGGCAGAATTTGCTGGTCCAAAGGCTCCAAGTGGAGAAGGCCATTCTCTATCGTATTTTTCCATTCCTACCACCAGATGCTCCTCACAATATTTTTACTTATCTCCTGAAACTTCTCCTACTAGTCACATTTCATGTTCATCCCCTGCCCCGCAAAAACCCATACTTGCATCCTTTCTCCCTGGAGCATCAGTACATGGGGAGTTCCTGGTGCTGTCACTGATCCAACCAATAGGCGATGGCACGGCTAGGGGGCAGGGTAGGAAGGTGAGGCAGCAGCAGGTGAGATGGCAGCAATGGCACAAGCAAAATGTGGGTAATTTATTTTTGTGCACAACACAATGGCTAAAATCACCTGATCATATCCTAGCTAAATAAGCCAGGTTCCACGCGATCACAGTCAGTCCCTTTGCTGCTGCTTCACTACTCCCTTTGTGCAAGCAGCAAAGCAACCCACAAAGCTGGAGCTCATCAAGACTTCCCGTTATGTGTGAAACGTGAATTACGGTTAATGGTTCCAAATGAGACAGGCTTTTAATCTGGCTTGTTCTCTCACTCCACAAACAGCAGCAATGAGACCAAAGTGGCAGGGCCCCCACAGGAACCAAACTCCAAGCCCTAAAACACAATTCTTCCAAAGCGGAATTCTTTGGAAATTTAACAGGACTTCTTCACTGAGAACAACAGACACAATTCTCTGAAACACAACCTTGATCAATATCCACTATTACTGATTGCCCCCTGCAGCATAAAGTTGCAAGACAGCATTGAACACATTTGCGGTACACAATCTGTAGGGCAACAGCAAAGCCTAGCAGTGCGCATTGCTGATTCACAAAAAAGAAATTTCTCAGCTGTCCCATGAAGGTCTTTTGGCAGCTAAATCAACATGGAGCAGGCTTGTGGAGAACAAAAAGTGTGAAAATCAATGCCCCAGAATCATATGCAATGCATTTGAGTTCATTGGCAGGCATTCCTGAGCAGGCAGGATTCCTTGGATGTAGAAAATCTGAAGGTCGCTGTCAGGGTTTGCATGATTTTGACATAGGACATAAATATGACAAAGATAATAAGAAGAGATAGGCGAGCAGCAGCAGAGAAGGCCACCGCTGCAGAGCAAGTCAGCATATGGAAGACAGCTACAGAAAGGAAAGGGCAAAATGAAAAAAGCAGAAGAACTTGGCATTAGACAGGATGTGGGAAAAAGACTACGCCATTAAGAAAGGATACAAAAGCACCCTTTGCATCAAGAGAGGAGATAACAAATTAGGTTGGGTGGAAAGTTTAGAAGCTTGGGGTTGTTGTTTTTTCCCCTGCGGGGGGCAATGATCAGATAAAGTATGATGAAATAAAGGAACTGAGGGAAAGTCTGATCCTTTGGAACAGAAATGACATCAGAAAGAAAATATGGCATGCATAAGGAAGTTATTTTTCCAATACAGTACAAATGCAAGCGTGAAAATATAATCCAGGCTACTCTTATTAGGGAGAGCTCTCGAAAAGCTGCCATCAATGAAAATAGACTTGCTGCAGAGACTTCCCAGAGCAACAGCAGTGGATACAAGACAGTTTTTGTTTAAAAACATTCTACACTTCAATTCAAAATGTCCTGGTCAGCTTACAATAACTAACAAGAAGACTGCAAACAGCAGTCCTATAAGCAACCACACTGGGGTGGGAATATTGGGAAGACAGAGGGTGAAAGCCTCGGAAAATGAAGACATTATCCTAGATGCCAGGCAAGTCTCCATGAGGCGATAATCTCACAAGGGAGGCACCACAACTACCTCATTCTGGGTATCCAAACAAGAGCCTCAGAGGAAAATCTTTGCGTATAGGATCTTTGTGTATTCATTATTGCAGCCTGTGAACAAACTATTGGATACCAAAGCAAGAAACACCAGGACTGGTTTGATGAGAATGACAGTGAGATTGAATGCATTATTGACAAGAAAATGAAAGCCTTCCAGATCTGGCAAAGAGATAGAAACTGTGCCACTAAGAAAAACACCTCAGCTAAGGCTGATGTTCAAGAAGAACAGAGAACTAAAGAACACCTGGTGGATTAAAAAAAAGCTCAAGAGATCCAGCACTTAGCCGACACTCATGATGCACAGAGTTTCTTTAAAGCCACAAAAACAATCTATTGGCCAATAAATTATGGCATATGCCCCCTATGCTCAACAGAGGGTACCACACTTCTAAAAGATGAAAAAGCTATTGCATTGCACAGGAAAGAACATTTGTTGTTTAGTCATGTCTGACTCTTCATGACCCCATGGACCAGAGCACGCCAGGCACTCCTGTCTTCCATTGCCTCCCGCAGTTTGGTCAAGAAAGAACATTACCAGTATCTTTTTAACTCCAACTCCCCTGTAGATGCTGAGTTCCTTTCACCAATTCTGCAAAAACAAACTAGAGACGTGCTTGCAGTATCTCCAAATCTGGGAGAGTTGTGATTAACCAGATGAAAAACAACAAAACCAGTGTACCTGATGGGATACCCACCAAAGTCTTCAAAGTGGGCAGAATTGAACTTGCACAACAACTTCACAAGCTCATTGAAAAAATGAGGGATGCCTCTTTGGGGATGCCAAAATTATCAATCTCTTTTTAAAAGGTTGATAGAACGGATTGCAGAAACTATCGAGGCATCTCTTTATTAGCTGCCGCCGGCAGAATTCTTGCAAGGATCTTAGCAAACCGTCTCCTAACTATATCCAAGTCTACCCTTCCTGAATCCCAAAATGGTTTTTGACCTTCCAAGGGGACAGTGGATATGATTTTCACTGCTTGACAGCTTCAAGAAAAATGCACATAGTGGAGAACTCCATTCATTTCACACCAAACCCACCCCTTGCTGATTAGGGAAAATATCATCCATAAAGGCTTTTGCCAGTTCTGCAGCCAACTCTGGCCCACTCCATACTGCAAGAACCAGAAAATTACAAGATGCAATGTCACCTTTCTCCTTACTTTGAAGAGAAGCTGTCTTACTATTGATATTTCTTTCGGATGTGCCATTTCAAAGCACCATGAACTACTCAACATAGATACATTAAAATTGCAAGGTCTGGAGCGAGATGGAAGAGCAACATAAAACAAGCTACTTAGACACCAATAAATTCAGTTGAACAACTCAGCCTGGAAAATTCCATACCAATTGCCTTGAGTACTCTTAATATCAGTGTTAAAACAGTGTCAACATGTCTGCAGCCAACAGAAAGGCACAAAAATTTGTGTTATAGCTCTGCACATCGTCATCTTGTTGACTTAATCCATTTCCCTTTTCTCTTTTTGTGAATGGACACTTCCCAACTCCCACAAAGTCAAAATTGTTCCCGAGAACAATGCAGAACAGCCTATGCTTATTGGAAATGATGGGCATGTGCAGTACTCACCTGAGCATTCATTTGGCTGGCAATCTGGAATGTGTATTAGGAATGCCAAGCTTGCCTTGTATTATTAGAGCACGTCTCCCCTCCTACTGAGGAAAGTATATGGCTATGAAAAATAAGGCCCACAGGGAAGAGAGGAAGAAGCAATCTATTCAGCCTGTCAGCCTGCACCAAACTCAATGTCAAAATAGTGGAAGTCACATTGATAGACTTCATAAGGATTGCAGCGGGCGTTGTCCGAATGAATTCCCCTTTCCCTGCTGTGGTACTGCAGGCAGTTGTGTGTGTGTGTTTTAAAATGCAACAGAAAATAAATGTGATGAAGCCCAATATATATTGGATTAACCTTCTCACAAATAGGGATTGGAGGGATTCACAGAGGAGAGAAAAAACAGTCAAATAATTGTGTATCTATAAACGCATAAAACAGATAAAGAGCAAAGAACTGGTCACAGCAAGAGGTAAAAAATTCATAAACCAGTACAAAGTGCTGTTTTTAACTCACAGTGGCTCAGAACAGCAGTACCCGAAGAACATCTTCTCCCCTACAAACCTACCCAGTCTTTTAAGGGCATCATCTGAGACCCTCCTCTAACTGCTCGCTCTGGAGGGGGGCAACAAGAGGGAGGGCCTTCTATGGAATGCTCTTCCCAAAACAGCCCACCTGGCACCAACATTGCCATCATTCTAGCACCAGGCAAAAACTTTTCTTCACTCAAGTAAAATCACTGGAACAGATTTTGTATCTCTGAATTTTACATGTGATTTTGTAATTATGTTTGTAATTATCTTTATATTGTACATAACTAGGAGGTGATTTTTATAACTTGGAGGTGATATTTATAAGGCCACTAAAAATCTAAATAATTAACATTGTTTTTAAAAAAGAAAAAAGTGGGGGAGGAATCTAAGACATCTTACTTTTGGGTACAACAACATGTGAAATTAGCTTGATTTCAGTTTCCATACTTGGCAATAACCACTGTCACAAGATTATATATAGACCAATATTGCAACTCATATGCCTTTAGACCATAACAGCAGCTCATTAATTGTCCAGAGGGGGCACAATTAGGTCATGGTAAGTCATTGTGAGTTAATCCCTGCACCTTATTAGGTAGCATTTTGTTAGCTAAATATGTAAGGTAAAGAATTCAAACTAGTATCAGCGGTTGGACGAGAAATATTTTATTTCATGCCATACTAGCAGCTCTCGGTGTTGCTTGCTTGAACAAATTTACAAACTGGTTGGGTTTTTTGTTTTGCTTTCACTATTTAATACACATGCTTCCTTGCAATTGGGCAAACGCTTTTAGATCCCTTTGTGTAAAGCTGATGGGAAGAGTGTTAAAAATGTGCCTCGCCCCCTCCCAAACAAAAGACAGAACAGAACCTAAAGTCAGATCTGGAGCTGTAAAAAAGGAATGCAATCCCAAACACACACATGGGATTACCAGAAAATACCAACAGGGAAGAAAAGCTTACTGCTTCTCTTCCTGACTACAGTTCAAAGCATCAGCCACCACACAACACAGCTGACTGCCTATCTTTGTCCCCAGTGTTTCATGTCTTGACTTTCAGGAACCACACAGAGATTCCCCTAACCACTGGAGATAACAGGTGTACCCTGGAGGAACCATGGTAGCAATTACCAAAATGAATTATACGTTCAGACTGAAATGAACAACAAAACCCTTGCTTACAGGTCTAGTTTTCACATAAGTGATTCAACGTGTTACTAGCTATAGCCTTGGCTGAAAACCCAAACTTCTACAACTCCCTCCCATAAAATAAACACGGTTCCAGTGCATTTTTAAAATGTTTAAGTCTTATCTCATCCCCAATGGAATTTTGCATGCTTATTAGGTGGAAGGAGGGAAGAAAGGAGGAAGCAAGAGAAGGTTCTTTTTATCATATGTGGTGGTCTTGTAGTAAGGTTAAAGTTTACTGGGAAATGATAGATAATGAAATGAAAAGGATGTTTAAAATAACCTTTGTTTAAAAAACTAAAAGCCTTTCTTTAGGGAATTATAGGGACAGAACTACCTAAAATGTATAGAAACTTATTCATGTATGCTACTACAGTGGCAAGAATGTTACTTGCCACAAAACGGAAAGAAGCAGAAGACCCAGCAAAAGAAGAATGGATACAAAAAGTTATGGAATATGCAGAAACGGTGAAACCTACTGAAAGAATAAGAAATCAAGATAACAGGTTTTTATAAGAGAATGGAAATGGGTTATTGAATATTTACAGATAAACTGTAAACAGATAAGATCATTGGCATGATTATTGTAATAACCTGAAGTTTTATAAGAGTATATATTTAAAGTAGAAGAATAAATGAGCAAATTAAGTTAATTTGGATATGCAAAGGTTATTAAAAATAAATTGAAGGAACTCCAGAAAGAGAGGGAAGTCAAGTTTTGAAATGTTAACATGACTGTAAAATTAGTGAAAAGTATAAAACTAGTGAAATGTATAAACTTGGAAAGAAGTCAGTGTACTCACCTGTTTTCTTCATCTGTGCTCTGCAGGAAAACACACAAACAAACAAAAATAAAACAACGTTGAGAGCAGCCCTGCAAGCACTGGTTTTCATGTTTAGACTAGTGCGAATAAGTCATGTATGACAGTCAGATGCAAGGCTTAGTGTCCAATGATAAAAAGAGAAGTTCCACTCAGCTAATGGAGGTCATTATCATTACATTGCAAGCTGCAGGCTACATGCAACCAGGAGGGCACACAGAAAAGATCATTTATTACACTGGGCCTGCGGCAATAACAACAGTGATCATCTCCCCATTCATCCATTAAGCACGCTTGAGCCCTTCACTCTGGATTCTCAGGTCATCCTGGCCAGCTGAGAACAATTCTGGATGAAAATTGCTGAAGACACCACCTCATCCTGCTACGAATGATAGTTGATAACACTTATGCAGTGCTTGGGATGGCAGATGGCACACGATTGCACAAGGCCCTAATGGTACCTAACATTTCACATTATGGGTTTTTTTTCCCCCCATATGCCCTGGTGCTTAAATGATAAATACCTACAATCCCATAGAAATTGGGCTGGCTCCTTCTTGCCTTCACATAGGCGTGTGAACTAAAGGCAACACATACGCTGAGGCAAAAAAAGAAGCTGGCTCGATGCTCATTAAACCGTGGCGCATTAAGGACATTTTATATCACATTCTGAGAGAGGAAAGGGCATTGCAATAATCAGTTCTATGTAAATACCACTGTGGAGTTACACAAGCAACATTTTCTCTTCGGCTGAGAAAAGGGCAACATTAAACAAGCTTTGATATCTGCTCACTTTGAGGGTCCGATAAGGAGGAGATGCAAAATATAAACTTCCAGTTAATAGAGAAATTTAATAGACATTTGTTTAAAGAGACAAGCGAGCATATCCAGGACATTAAAGAAATGCATATAACTCATCCATGCTTTCTTAAATTATTTGGTAAGCAACTGGTGCTTTTAAAGGCAGGCTTGGGCAAACATTACATCAGCAGCCTAGTAGCAGATGGAGAACAGAGAGCCAGGCTTTGCATACTGAATGTCCCAAGTTCCATTCCAAACATCTCCAGTTAAAAACACTCTTAGACTGAGACCTTGAAGAGCAACTGCCACTCAACGTAGCCAGCAATGGCTTAGGAACCCTAATGAGATGGTTCTGAACATGGAAACTTCCTGTGTTCATAAGATATGGTGTGTAGCACATAAGCCAGCATCTTTCCATATTCCCCCTCCCCCCACAACATGAGATTGGCAAAGACATGGTCTTCAGAACAAGGGAACCTTTGGCCCTCCCGATGTTTCTGGCCTACAACTCCCCTCATTCCGGGCTTTGCTGGCTGGGGCTGATGGGAGCTGGAATTCAGCAATGCCGAGAAGGACACAGATTCCCCACTTCTGCCTCAGAATGTAGTGGTGGAACAGTACTAGTTCTCTTTCTGCTCCCTTCATTTCATGAAACCTAATTACTCAGAACAAAAATGGGGCTATTATGTTATTTCAGTTTTCATGTATTAACCTAACAGATCCAGATTAATGAAGAATTTACTGTTTTTAGATATACTGTATGTTTAAAACTACATTTACGAATTCATCAGTCACCTTCCAGATCCAGTCCTTTCTTGAATTATAGCTCTGTTTAAACTAATGTTTATTCTAGCACCGAGCCTACAGCAGAAGTGTTCTATTTCTAGGCTCACCGTTTCTTTGTATTTTCTATTTTTTAAAGGGCAGGGAGGAGAAAAAGTTGTATAATAACTATTTAGACAAAGAGAAATATTGCCCCACACAAGGCGTAATTAGCATATGAGAACCTGGGGACACTAGGGACGCGAGTGGCATTGTGGTCTAAACCACATAGCCTAGGGCTTGCTGATCAGAAGGTTGGAGGTTCGAATCCCCACGACGGGGCGAGCTCCCGTTGCTCGGTCCCTGCTCCTGCCAACCTAGCAGTTCAAAAGCACGTCAAAGTGCAAGTAGATAAATAGGTACCGCTCCGGTGGAAAGGTAAACGGCGTTTCCATGCGCTGCTCTGGTTCGTCAGAAGCAGCTTAGTCACGCTAGCCACATGACCTGGAAGCTGTACGTCAGCTCTCTCGGCCAATAAAGCGAGATGAGCACCGCAACCCCAGAGTGGTCCACGACTGGACCTAACGGTCAGGGGTCCCTTTACCTTTACCTTTACCTCTAGCTCACGGTATACAGTTTGCAAGAAACAGAGACAAGATAAAGAAGGTTGATGTGGAAAAAAATCACTGACTGACAGGGCTTGGCATTTAATTTTTAAAGACGTGGGTGAACAAACCCTGTTCCTCACAAGACTAAAGGAAGAGAAAATCCCTTTACTCAATGACTGCTCCAGAGAGTCTTCCTTCTCGAGGGGGGAAAGCTGCAGAACATAAAGTGAACAAAAGATACCAAGGTACTAACAGTAAAAATATTTCTGTGATCTATAGAGATCAACAACCTTTCCACCCAACTATCAAAGTACCTATGGTTCCTTTTCTAAGACAGGTGAATCAAAGGGTGTGGAATAGGCTCAATCTGTGCTTATAACAATTTTTAAAAAAAAATCAGTGCAAGTTCTTTCTTAACTTAGTTTCTTAAAATCAGTGATACAACTTCTAGGAAGTACCGTATTTTTCGCTCTATAAGACGCACCAGACCACAAGACGCACCTAGTTTTTGGAGGAGGAAAACAAGAAAAAAAATATTCTGAATCTCAGAAGCAAGTTCAGCAAGAGGGAAAGCAGCAATCCCTCTTGCTGTTCTGGCTTCTGGGATAGCTACGCAACCTGCATTCGCTCCATAAGACACACACACATTTCCCATTACTTTTTAGGAGGGAAAAAGTGAGTCTTATAGAGCAAAAAAATACGGTAATTAAAGTTTCACCAAGGTTACATTTGTATTTTTATTCAAGAAGTTGGAATAAAGTCTTAGATGGGGAGTAAAGACAATCTTAACTGTAAGCATGTGCCATGAATATGCAGGCCACAAATCAAGATATAATAAAATAGAACAAGATTCAAGAACTTATTTCTTATTAAGTTTGTCTAGTATTATGAGTACTTAACCACACTTTAAAGTTACATAATAAGTGAGAGCTGGACCATAAAGAAGGCTGATCGCCAAAGAATTGATGCTTTTGAATTATGGTGCTGGAGGAGACTCTTGAGAGTCCCATGGACTGCAAGAAGATCAAACCTCTCCATTCTGAAGGAAATCAGCCCTGAGTGCTCACTGGAAGGACAGATCCTGAAGCCGAGGCGCCAATACTTTGGCCACATCATGAGAAGAGAAGACTCCCTGGAAAAGACCCTGATGTTGGAAAAGATGGAGGGCACAAGGAGAAGGGGACAGCGGACGAGATGGTTGGACAGTGTTCTCGAAGCTACCAGCATGAGTTTGAACAAACTGCAGGAGGCAGTGGAAGAGTGCCTGGCGTGCTCTGGCCCAGGGGGTCATGAAGAGTCGGACACGACTAAACGACTAAACAACAACAAAAGTACCAGGGTCTATCATAGATCTCCTGTTTATGTTATTCTTAAACAATGTGGGCTCAAAGTAAACCATCATTTAAGTTTGCAAGCGCCACAAAATGATTCCGGATGGTGAAAACCAAAGCAGTCAGTTAAGAGCTCCAAACAGATCTCTCCAACAGCATTAAGGTCAACAAAATGGTAAATGATATTTAGTGCAAGCTCAAAGTGATGCCCATGGAATGCACATGGAAAGATATCACTGAACTGGGATTCAAACTTGTTTAAGATTCAGGAACCCTTCTGTGCCAGTAAACGAGGATCCTTCATTATTATTAAGTTCTCTAGCGTGCTTAATTAAGTAGAATCTTCTAGCAAGCCTTTGTCCTGTCCGAGAACTGGACATGAGTTTGAGCCCTACAAGGATCAATAAAGAAACAATATATTTTGTACCACCTAGATATTGGTTAACTGACTTTGGATGTATCTCTGCTAGAATAAGTGGGACCACCATTTCTCTATTGGTGATTTGGTGTAAAATTCATCAATAGAAAAGTCACAGAGTAGATCCAAGCATTTCAGTGGAAATGTCTCCAATCAGAGTAACTAATTTCTGGTATTCAATGGGGGAAAATATTGGATGGAAGATATTTTTTGTTAATTACAACATTATTGTGAACCACCCTGAGATCTTTTGAAGAAGGGTGGTATATAAATCTAATAATGATGGTGGTGGTGGTGGTGGTGGTGGTGGTGGTGATGATGATGATAATAATAATAATTAAAAAAAAAATATTCAGCTTAGTGTATCTCAAATAGTGTAGGTCTGCTTTAGGCCTATTATAAAGTGCTTCAGGCCAAGGGGCTGGATGAGATAATCCAGGCATAGGCAAACTCGGCCCTCCAGATGTTTGGGGACTACAACTCCCATCATCCCTAGCTAACAGGACCAGTGGTCAGGGATGATGGGAGTTGTAGTCCCCAAACATCTGGAGGGCCAGGTTTGCCTATGCCTGAGATAATCTATGCTTACTTTTACAGCTAGGTATTTGGATTATATGAGTGGTTTGCTGAACCCCAAACTGAAAACATAAGACCATCATTGTGGCATATGGGAGATAGCTGCTGTATATCCAAAGTGGCTAAAACAGCTGTCAAATAAAATTCATGCCAACCCGAAAGCTGTAATAAAAACACAGACCTATTCTAGGACAAAAAAGCACAGTATCCTCCTCCTTTAAAGGAAGAAAGGGGAGCCATCAAATATAACCAAAATGCAACATTCTACTGTGTTCTTTCTACTTTGATAGAAAGCAGAATTGAAAGGAGTAACAAAAATGTGAAAAATACTCTGTATGGGTCCTGAGATACAAACATCATGCAGCAAAGCGCTGCAGCCTTGCTTTGAAATGGATGGAAGCGGTTGGCTTTGTGCCCTTTCAAACCACCTCAGTCAATTGGGTATCAACATAACCACACACAACTCATAATGCGTTATTACTTACAACTCTGCATATCCCCTTGGAAGTTTAGTGGATTTGTGGCCATCTTTAAATGCTGACAAGCAATAAAGTAGACTAAACCTCTGCATCCATCATAAAGCTTTACGGCTCTCTGCTGTTAACTGCTTCGCATGTACTTTATTTACCTCAGGCTTGAGCATGGCTAGCTCATTAAAGGTGTTCAGCTGCCTTGTGAGCTCTGCCATTTCTGTCATCAGTTTTTCCATGCGAACATCAATTTCTGCCAGAACTTCTGTCGTGTGAGCAGTGGCCAGTGCTTCTTGGAGATCCACCAAGTGGAGAGCTCTGTGTTCCTCTTCACAAACCAGGCACCGTACTTTGTCGAACTCTTGCTGAATGCACAGCTTCATGGCACTCTGCGTCACCTGAAGTATAAGAGAAAAATGGGCTTTTTAAAAGAGAATTTCTGACCATTTAATTTATTTCATGTTTAAGCAGGAATAGTATTGAGATATGGAATTACCCCAAACTCGGGGTGGGGGGGGGACCCTAAACAGATACCTTCAAAAGACTGGTAGAACAAATACATTTTCATATGGTGAGAGAATCCCATCACACCTCCTGGGAAAGGGTGCCACTATAGGGAAGGCCAAATCCCACATCACCACACAATAGTCACTGGTGGCACAGCAAGACACAATATCTTTGAATGATGGGCAGATTTTTTAAAATAAATAAATGAAAACATGGGTGCAAAATTATTTGAATAAGCAAGCAAACAAAGGACTTGTCTTTCATCCAGAAATAGTGGGTAGTTTATAAATTCTTTGAATAAATAAATAGGGCTGCTGCTGAATCATTTAAATAAACAACCCAAGGATTAATATTCTTCCAGAACTTTGCAGAGTAGCTGTTGGAGAGCTAAAATGTGTTCATAGTTAAAAAAAAAGGTTAAGGGACTCCGGTTAAGTCCAGTCAAAGGCGACTATGGGGTTGCGGCGCTCATCTCGCTTTCAGGCTAAGGGACCCGGCGTTTGTCCACAGACAGCTTTCCGGGTCATCTGGCCAGCATGACTAAACCACTTCTGGCACAACGGTTTAGACCACAGCACCACCCACGTCTCTAGTGTTCATGAGAGGGAAGGGGATCAATGAGTCCATGCACTGTGATCCAAACCCCTGGGACAAATACCGTATTTTTTGCCCTATAGGACGCACCGTCCCATAAGGTGCACCTAGTTTTTTGGGGGGGAAATAAAGGGGAAAAAATTTATTCCCCCCCCCCAGGTGCAGGGCTGGGGCGGGGGAAGCCCGAACTTCCCCCGACCCCAGCCCCCAGAACAGGCAACTCTCTGCAAGCCGTGGGATCCCAGCGCTGGGCTCCCGCACCTTGCGGAGAGCTGCGCCAAGCCTGGGCACGCTGAGCTCAGCACGCGCAGGCTCCAGCGTGCAGGCAACTCTCCGCAAGAGAGAGAATATCTGATTTCCTCCAAGCGAGAGCCACAAACTTGATGCATAAATTCACGCTTCTTAAATTGGATAGCTTATTTAAAGAATTAAGAAAAAGGCCTAGATTTCTGAACAGTTGAGCTTTGCTCAAATTATCCTTTTTACACCCTCACTCCCAACTTCTATCTTGAGGAGGAGAAAAAACATGCAGGATTTTGTCTTCTAGTAGTGCATGTACAAAAATACAGGTCGTATTTCCACAGGGTGAGCCAAATGTTGTAATCTATAGACACATAAGACCTGAAGCTTCATGGCAGCAGGACAGAGAACTGCAACAGTGAAGGCAAGCAAGGCTGATTGCAGCTGTAATGGCACTTCTGCAATCTGCAGTGGGGCAAAGCTGGAGAATTTCTGGAAATAAGTTCTTCCCACACCACACCTCTACTCCTTCATGGAGGAATGAGGTGCTTCACGGATCATCCTTTTGATTCCTGTTATGTAGATGTGAGAGAAATGGAACATATAGACCCATTCTTAGAAGTACAGATCTGACAAAATGTATGTGTAGAAAACACTTTAACACAAGAAATCTTCACAAAACACAGCATGAAATCCATGTGTACAACTACAAATGACAACTGCTGTAGGGGAGCAAGACCTCTACTTAACAAAAAAGAAAGTGCACCGTGCATTACATGAAAGGAGATTCCAACTAAACATCAGGGAGAAATGTCCACCAGTAAGAGCTGTTCGAGAGTGGAACAGACTCCCATGAAAGCTACTGGCCTCTCCTTCCTTGGAGGTTTTTAAGTATGATCAATGTATGATCATGTATGATCAAGCTGACATTCCTGCAGTGCAGGGGAGTAGACCAGATGACCCTTGGGATTCCTTCCAACTCCACAATTCTATGATTCTACAATTCATTTTAGATAACCCCCCTAGGGGTAGGAACCACTCAAATCTGTTCTTTGTAAATAGATGGCACCATATTCACAGCAGCAGCAAAAAAAGATGGGTGGCATGGCCTGGAAAGATCTAATGAAATAAATGCAAGGCAAAGTTTTTCCCAATGTCACAGCATTTCAACCATAAAGTGGGATAACTATGCTTACTTCTTCCACCTTTTTTTTAAAGTGCAATACTCAGATGGCATTTTGCAGAATACTCAATCTCTCACATGTACAAATAAAATATTCAATTTCTAAACTAGTCAGAAAATGATATGAGTTGAGGTCACAGGCACCGTCAAAAGGGTGCTCATGGCACTTTCATAATCACAGTCCTCACTGCATGTCCATTGGCCTAAAAAAAGTGCCATGCTATTGTGGTTTAAAGGACGTCGCAAATGTAAAACCTGCACATCAGATGTTGCATCTTGAGGGTGGCCGAATGAGGTAAGATCAGCACATGAGTGCAGAATGCACTGCTACCTAAGGTAATCGTCTTCCAGCAAGGCCTTTTTGTACAACAAAATTGGAAAGCATTTAAACTGATCAGTCCGCTTCACCACTTCAGGACTGTACCATTTCATGCTGTTGAATGCATAATATAGGACTGAATAGCAAGTGTCCATTGGCTTCATCATAGCCTGCTCATCTGGAAGTATTTGTCAGAACCACTGCACACGAGGAACTCACAAGAAAGAAGCAACAACCCAATGCATGTGCACTCTGATGCAAGTACCACCAAAATTAATGGACTTACTCCCAGGTGAATACGTATAGAACTGCAATCTTAATGGTGCACTTCACTAGGACAAGTAGGCTAGAAAACAAACACTCCCGGGGATGCTAGTAACAGGGAAGCTGAGTATCTGTTTCCTGCACACCAGGAATACCTGCCAAAGAACAACCAGCCCCGTTTTAAGAATGTGTTAGAAGTGAAGGTTCTCCCTCTAAACCAGCCAGAAAAATTCTCTCCAGTTCTATCCCAACGCCTGTATGACTCCTGCAGCCTAGTATGCGAATGCAAACTGGCTGTGAGTAACCTATAAAAACTGAAGCTGCAAATCGCAGATGGGCATTGTTTGAAACACAGGAGCAATTGTGCAAGCTCTGTGTGTTGGGGGGGGGGGCCTGCAGAGCAACCACATTATTTTTGCAGCACTTTAATTGTAGGTGAGGGGGGAAATAGCAACATAAAACAAGAATATGGAGAGAAAAAAACTACAGGTACTAGCAGAAGATGCCTTCTTTTGAAAAATGGCAATAGTTAGCACCGAATTTTTCCAGTGACTCTGGTGTCAGCAAGGAGCATAAGCCACATTCTCTATTAAATTAGCACCACTGAATGATGACGAAAAACAAGGCGTTGCGCTGGAGTTGTCCTGGAAATTGCTCATGAGGCATTCTGGGGGAGATGCACAGGTCAAGGGTAGGAAGCAGCAAAAAGAGAATGCTGAAACAGCTCGCTTGCTTCAGACACATTCATCCTATTAGCCAGATATCCTGCCAGGTAAAAAGCCAGCCAGCATTTCAGCTTCTCAATGAGGCATTGAAGCGACGGTGCAATTTCAAGGACAGCTCTAAAACCACAAATCAAAGCAAAAGCATCGTTAGGGATACTCATGTGAATGTACCTTTATTTATTTACAACTGTTGAGAAGTGCTTTCTCAGAAACAGTCTAAAGCAGTTTACAGCATTTTTAAAAAGTCCACTAGTTGGAAGGGCTAAATCCCTATTAAAAAAAGGAAAGCATTCCAACTTTTTTAAAACCCTAAAAGGGAGACTTCCTAACTTTTTCAGAAGGAGGGCATTGGGGCCATGATCCTAAGGTTCCTGCTTCTTGCAGCCATTGTCCCACCAGAAGGACTGGCTAGAGAGCAGTGCCAGATGACTAGGCCTTGACTGGCAGAAGGGCTCATACAAAAGGCAGCTGTGGGTTTTAAGCAATGATAAAAACAGCAACCCTCCTTGAATTATGCTCAAAAGCAGAGTGGTAGCCAGTGCTGAACCATGGGAATAGGTGATGGTCCATTAGTACCAAAGCTTCCAGGTCATCTTTGAGCGTACTGTCATATAGAACACATTGCAAAAATCAATCCTGAAAGTTAGAGGAATATGGGTCAGTGTCTATCCTATCTAAGAGTAGCCAGCATGGAAGCCAGAATGAAAAAAGTGTCAAGGAAAGATGGGGTTCTTCAATGTAAGATGGGGCTCTCTCAACTCACAATAAACCTATGGTTGTGAACCACCCTGAGATCTTGCTAATAGGGCACCCTATAAGTTCTGTTAATATTACCTGTTACTTCATTAACCCTCCTTCTACCACCATAATGCTTAGCCTAAACCCCCACCCCATCCTGAGACATCCAAATTCTGTGAAACTGAATCATCAAGTTGTAAACAAACAGAATGCTAATTCTGAAAGCCTACGCAACCTGTTGCATATAAGGAGGAACCATTTTAAGCTTGCAAGCGTTTAACTACTCCCAACCCACTCTCTAACATGCACTTGTGCCCAAGAAAATTGTACCTACCCCATCCCCTGCAGTTTGTAACCCACTCTCCCTCCCAAAATACACTTGACCCTCCTTTTGTTTTAAAAGGCTCATTAAACTGTTCAAGGCAAAAGTGTGGGGCAGTGGGACAGACATGCACAAAATCAAGACTGAGCCCATGTATCCAGGTTTTAAAGCAGCACCAGGTGGTGGTTCTTGCTACCCACCTATACAGATGGCTGCAATGTGTCCTTGGATAGCACAGCAGGTAGCTGGTGGGAAAGTGAAGGATGTTGGGGTGGGGAAAGAAGCTCAGCCAAGGAGCACAGGGGAAATGACTATTTTATGAATGATTCTTTGGAACAGTGATTTGCATTAACGGCTCTGAAGATAGGGTTTCCTTGATGCAGAGCGGTGCAGCCATCAATATATGTCACTCTCGCTCTCTCCACAAGACGTTCATTGAAACTTTGGTACAAAACACAGAGGCAAAACAGCAACAGGGTGGAAAGCGCACCACCACACTGGTCTCTTGAAACATAGCCAGGCCTCTGCTCCAATTAAAACTAGATTCTCCGCTCATGAATCAAGCCAATTCAAAGAATTTCAGATTAGTCATTCACCGGCCTCCTGGCCCGTCTGTTTATAAAGCAATTTTGTTCCATTAGGAGTGATGTTTCTGACAACTGCTCAGCAAGCTCATTAGTGCGCTGTGCATTTGCCTTTTGATGGTACTCATCAGCGGCATCCGGACAACTTGCAGAGATATGGATGTGGTTAACGTACAACAACGGATTCATCAAAAGGGTTCTTTGAAAAAAAAATTTAAAAAAGGTGCCACATCTGGGTATACAGAACTGCCAACATCTCCAGAATGTGCCCACTTGTTCTGAAGGCTGGAACAGGTGCTGCCGTTTTCCAGTTCTGCTTTCAAAATAACTCAGCCCCCACGGATGAAGTCTCAGAGAACTCATTTTATTCAGTGAATATGTTCCCTTCGCACATGAGAAGAGCCTCCAGGTAACACTAAAGCTACATGAGGAATGGGCATCGTATTGCCTTGCAGATGCTGTCACATCTGACTTCATGAACGATGCCACCCCACCAACAGCAACAGCTTTTTTGCATTTTCTGTAGCCACACCACAAGTCATCCAGAGAGACGCAGTTTTGCTGCATGCTCTATATAGCCTTAACCAAGGGAAACTGCTCTAGGATCTACACAGAATGCTTAGATTTAAAATTGAGACCAATTCAGCAAAAAAAGTATTTGAGGTATACTGGACTATACAAAGTCTCTACAATAAAGCATTGTTTAAAGCAACTAAATGCTGGAGGTGTAATGCTGTGAATGTCTCAGTAAGAAATCCTTTTTGGTTTGAAGTTGATGTCCATATTAATATGGTATTGCTGAAACCTCTGATATATGTGGATGTTTTAAATTACATATATACCAGTGGCATGGGGACTTACAACAGGAAAACCCAATGGTCGCTAAGAGACATACTTCAAGCCTGTAAGGATAAATACTCACCATCTATTATGTAATGGTGTGAAGACTTTAATGCCCTTGCTCCATCTGAACATTATTCTATAAACACCTACAGTGGTGCCTCGCAAGACGAAAAGAATCCGTTCTGGGAGTCTCTTCGTCTAGCGGTTTTTTCGTCTTGTGAAGCAAGCCCATTGATGGGATTAGCGGATTAGCGCTATTAGCGGCTTTTAGCGGCTTTTAGCGGCTTTTAGCGGCTTTTAGCAGCTTATCAGCTTATCTGATAAGCAGATAAGCGGCTTAGCGACTTAGAAAAAGAGGGGGGAAAAGGGAAAAAAAAACCCAGGAACTCGCAAGACATTTTCGTCTTGCGAAGCAAGCCCATAGCAGATTCGTTTTGCAAGGCACCTCCAAAACGGAAAACTCTTTCGTCTAGCGAGTTTTCCGTCTTGCGAGGCATTCGTCTTGCGGGGCACCACTGTACTTTGTTTGGATAACATTCAGGCATTTGAGTGGCATATATCCACCTGTACGTGTAAATTAATATACATGTCACGGGACGCGGGTGGCACTGTAGGTTAAACCACAGAGCCTAGGACCTGCCGATCGAAAGGTCGGCGGTTCGAATCCCCGCGGCGGGGTGAGCTCCCGTCGTTCGGTCCCAGCTCCTGCCTACCTAGCAGTTCGAAAGCACCCCTAAGTGCAAGTAGATAAATAGGGACCGCTTTCTAGCGGGAAGGTAAACAGCGTTTCCGTGTGCGGCACTGGTGCTGGCTCGCCAGATGCAGCTTAGTCACACTGGCCACGTGACCCGGAAGTGTCTTCGGACAGTGCTGGCTCCCGGCCTCTTGAGCGAGATGAGCGCGCAACCCTAGAGTCGGTCACGACTGGCCCTGATGGGCAGCGGTACCTTTACCTTTACCTTTACCTTTATTGATGTTTATTGTATTGTGAATGTTAAGGGACTATTTTGTTTTTGTTTTCCCCTTTTCTCTTTCCTGCCCTCTTTCTTTAATAAATTTACAATTTAAAGAAATCATTTAAAAAAAAAAAAAAGAGGAAATGAAATTTTGCAGAATAAAGTTAGCATATACTGTGTGTTGCCAGAACGTTGACCCTCCTCATTCTACTAAGCTTCTTTATGACAAGAGGTGGGGAACTTTCAATCCATGGGATTAATTAGCCCCACTCGGCTAATTAATGTTTCCTAATTAATGTGTTGCAAGCCCAGCCATGGCCACCTGTTTTATACCTGATCCCATATATATGACATCAGGTGTGGGGCAAGTAAATATACAGCTCCCCGCAGGCCCTGCCAATCAATGGTGCCTGAAAAGTCTTGTGTCTGCATGGTTTGCTTTGCAAGTAGAAGAAAACAGGTCACATGCATCAGTGTAATGTCAGGTAACTGACAGCCGGCTGGTCTCACCCATCAAAGGTGGCTCTCAGGGGGAACTAAGGATATGGCTCTCTGGCACAATCCAATTCTCCGCCGCTGCTTTACATCAAAACACAAGCAAGAAACTTACCTGTACATCACTCATAATATGTGAACAGTTTTGACTTTTTCATATAGAAACATGTCTATGTCCTCTTTGTTTTCATAAACATTTTGGCAAACTGTATTCTCATAAACATAATGCATGTAGGAACACTCCCAAGAAACCAGGTCCCCAGGGAATTTGTAAAACACCTGTTGATATGAATGCATCTTTTCTCAAAACATAAGGGAAGATTAGAGAGGCAGGTACACTAGCATGATTTAAAGTATAAACTGTCTCTTGGCCCTAGGTTTTCATAAGCATTGTGCCAACTGCTTGCTAACATTTCCCCTTATCTACTAAACACCAACTGATACCAACTCCCTAGAGAGAGCTGTAGCATAGCTGCATTTATTTTCAAATCATGGCATTTATTTATTTTTTGGAAGTCGCCCCTGCTCAGAAATGAGCCCATGTGCCCTATTTAGCTTTCAGCATCTGACAAGGTCGTGGAGATGGCAGTGCCATGAATATCCATAAGGTTAAGGCATTTGGGGTGAGATGGTTTGGGGTGGGGAGAAAATCTGCTTTCCAATTCATGGGAGAACAGCCTATGCCAATATTACCAGTGGCATTTTCTCTGTGCCAAGTCCTCTACAGATCGATGGAATGTGTATGCACATGGAGAACCAATTGTGCTGGGAAGACTGCAAATTGAATTACTCAACTGCTCTGCTCTTTGCTGCCAAGAGAGCTCTCCTGTCTATTACCTTTACTTTTGCTGCATACATGTGCATGTGCATACAAACACACACACACAGAGGGGGGGGTTGCTCTGTGGCAAGTGGATCAGTGTGTTATGTCACGAGTAAAAAAAACAATGAGTTTCATGATTAAATCATTCTGGGTCTCTTCCCTCTTCCCCTGAGTCTCTAGCTTAAGACACTTTTCTCAATGCAAATAAGGCACTTCAGTGCAATCTGAAGTGTGGGGACAATTGGAAGAATAAAGGTTCTGTCATAAGCAGCTCTCGGTTGCTTTATCTCCATTATCATTGCAAAGTCCTGTGAGTAGGTACCAAGGGCGCTTAAATTAAATGTCAAATACAATCTAGCACTGGAAACAAAAAGTGGCATTGCTCAAGGGGAAAGAGCCTGACAGCTTTGCTCTGCTTGTCAAAAGTGGCATTTGCTTCATAATTATCCGTTTGCACAAATGAATCACCATTTGGCAGCGAATATTGCCGAAGACTTGAAATAGCACGAAATGAATAAGAATTGTTAAAAAAAAAAATGAGTAAGAAAAAGCAATTTGGCCTGAAAAATAATTCTTGGTGGTGTTTAGCTCAAGGTTTCATCACTAAGAATAAAGAAGATAATGGTTCAACACCTTCTCTCTTCAAAAAATAGTAACTGGGTGAGGCGATTTAGCTATATACTCATCATGGTAGCTAAAACAGGGCAGGTATCATGGGTGATGGAGACAAGAGTCTGCAATAAAAACTTTTCTATGTACACATTCATGTGTTCATGGCAGCATATTCAGGGATCAAAATATTTCAAGCTTACAGGAAAAGGCACATAAACCATTTGCAAACTAGCCAGCAGATGTTAAGACAAATTAGTCACAGGAATAGGGTTGGCCCTGAAAATACATGTCTCAAGTGTCAAAGGCCAGGTTAACACCAAAAAGCTGTAAAGTGAAGGTTCCAACTACCATATTTTTTTCAGGTGAGACAACTAGAACCTCATACAGCATTCCAAATGTAGTCACACCATAGATTTGTGTAATGGCATTATGATACTAGAACATTTATTTTCAATTTCTTTTCTAATGATCCCTAGCATGGAATTTGCCTTTTACACAGCTGCCACACAATGGGTTGACATCTTCATAGGGCTAACCACCATGACCCCAAGGTCTCATTCCTGTTCAGTTGCTGCTAGTTCAGTTCCCATGAGTGTACATGTGAAATTCAGATTTTTTGCCTCCAAAGGATCATTTTGCAATTGTTTGCATTGCACCATATTTACCATTTTACCACCCATTCACTCTGTATGGTCCTTTTAGAATTCTTCACAATCTTTTTTTTCTTTTAACAACCATAAATAATTTTGTATCATCAGCAAACTTGGCCACCTCACCTCTCACTCCTAACTCTAAATCATTTATGAACAAGTTAAAAAGCATAAGCTCCAATATCAATACTTGGGGTGTTGTAAGCCAAAAATAGTTTATCTCCTGAGTTTATGCCAATAAAAAGGGATGTGGGTGGCACTGTAGTCTAAACCACTGAGCCTCTTGGGCTTGCCGATCAGAAGGTCGGCAGTTCGAATCCCCACAACGGGATGAGCTCCTTTTGCTCCGTCCCAGCTCCTGCCAACCTAGCAGTTCGAAAGCACACCAAAGTGCAAGTAGATAAATAGGTACTGCTCCCACGGGAAGGTAAACAGTGTTTCCGTGCGCTGCTCTGGTTTTGCCATGCTGGCCACATGACCCGGAAACTGTCTGTGGACAAATGCCAGCTTCCTCGGCCAGTAAAGCGAGATGAGCGCCACAACCCCAGAGTCGACTGCAACTGGACTTAACTGTCAGGGGTCCTTTACCTTTACCTTTTTTTATGGCAATAAAACTCAGAAATGTGAGGAGTTAGGAGTCCATCATTGTTTACTGCAAAGCGATAGGTTATAGTCGGATTGTTCTGCAACTCTGCCCGGTGGTCCAGGCTGTGGTATTTATAAAATTTCAAACAAAGCATTTCAATTTTCACCAATCATATACATCATTACCTCATTTCATGTTTAATACACATGCGAAATTAGCAGTGGCAATTTCTGCTGATTAAGTTCTGATTCCCACTGTGTTCTGTTATATTGTGTTAGTGTGCATGTTGGGAACCTGTGTTACGTGCAGCCATTTGCACCATGTAGCAACTTACCTTCTAGCTTTGAGCTGTATCTTTGTGATTCACATATTATCTATTTCTGCCCCAGTGGGGGTTGGCAACTTGCAAAATAATCAGTTTCATAAAGTGGCGGGCTACCATAACTTCTCTATTAGAAGCACACTCAAGGATTTACAGGGGTACACAGTATCACATTTATTGTGGCCCTTTGGGCCACTACCACACGGGGAACACCATTTTCTACATCCCTCCATTGTGAGAACTATCCATGTATTCCTACCCTCTGCTTCCTGTTACTTAACCAGTTACTGATTCACAAGAGGGCCTTGTCTCTTATTCCATGACTGCTAAATTTACTCAGGAGTTTTTGGTGAGGTACCTTGACAAAGGTTTTTTGAAAGCTGAAGTGACATTATGTCAGCTCAGTCACTGCATCTGTATGCTTTTTACACTCTCAATTCATTCTAATAGTTTAGAGAGACAGGACTTATCCTTTCAGAAGCCATGTTGGTTCTGCTTCAGCAAGGTTTGTTCTTCAATGTGCTTGGTTATTTTATCTTTAACAATACTTTCCACCAGGACAGATGGTAACTGCCTGGAATTTTGAGGAGCCATTTTTTCCCAAAATTGGTGTTATATTAAACTACTTTCCAGTCCTCAGGTGTGGAGGATGATCTTAGGGAGAAGTTACGTATTTTTGTTAGAAGATAAAGAATTTTACATATGGGTTATTTGAGAACTCTTAGGTGAATAGCACCCAGACCTGGCAATTCACCAGCTTTTATTTTGTCTATTAGGCCTAGAACTTCGCCTCTCATCACAATTATTTGCCTCATTTCTTTAGACTCCATTCCTGAAAAAGTTTGCTCAAGGAACAGAGATTTTATTGTATTTCTTGATTGTTGCTACAGTGGTGCCTCGCAAGACGAAAAGAATCCGTTCTGGGAGTCTCTTCGTCTAGCGGTTTTTCCGTCTTGCGAAGCAAGCCCATTGACGGATTAGCGGATTAGCGCTATTAGCGCTATTAGCGGCTTTTAGCAGCTTATCAGCTTATCGGATAAGCAGATAAGCGGCTTAGCGACTTAGAAAAAGAGGGGGAAAAGGAAAAAAAAACCCAGGAACTCGCAAGACATTTTCGTCTTGCGAAGCAAGCCCATAGCAGATTCGTTTTGTGAGGCACCTCCAAAACGGAAAACTCTTTCGTCTAGCGAGTTTTCCGTCTTGCGAGGCATTCGTCTTGCGGGGCACCACTGTATTATTGTCACAGTGCTAAATCCAATACAATTTTGAGATTAAAACATAGGACACATACAGCATCTTCGTAAATGGCATTATTTTCTTATTTATTTAACTCACATTAATTCTAGAAGCTTAAAACTGACTTAAGAGTCTCACGGTTCTTAAACCTCAGGAGCAAAACTCAATTTTATACATGGAAGTCTGATGGGTAAAAACCACAAGGCATACGTCAACTGAAAACAGGATGTTTTCATGCAGTCAGAAATAGATGTTCCAGACAATTAGGAAGGATTATATGAAGTGAAGAAGGTGGTAGTGAAGCACACTCACACACCCCGCTTCTCATCAACTTGTTCAGAAACTGCAAGACCATTGGAATTGAGTTACATGTGTTTAAGGACTGAACTAGATATGTCACACTCTATCCAGATAGTACAATAAGAATCCTTGCTTATGTCTCTGACTAGTTTCATTCAAGATTTTCAGGGTCTTAGAACTTTTAATTAAAAAACAAAAAGGGCTACGTAAGAGCTGGCAACTATGAAGGAGATGCTGTTTCAGATGCAGCTGCTGGAATGCATCCAGGTCCCATATATAGAGAAAGGCAGCTAGATTTTTTACTAGACAAAGCCATAAATCTTCACCCACCCTTTGCACAACCATAATGCTAAAAATAACTACAGCGCCTGTGGGACATCAGCATTTGGATTAATCAAGTCCTGTGATGCTAGCGGGAAATTTGCTACAGGAACAGCAGCGCTGGAGGATTTTCGGAGCCAGATTGTACAAGTCAAGGATGCGGCAGCATCCAGAGATTGAAGCAGTTTGTTTCTTTCTTAAATAGCTCTTCCAAGACAATTAAAAACAGCAGAAAAGGAGACAATTTCACGCAAGCACATAATAGCCAATTAGACGTGTGCAAGAAAGGAACAGAACGGGGTGGACTGTTAAGATCTGAACATAGTTAACGCCTTGGAGTTACAATCTCATTTACTTATACAGAATGCTGGATATTCAGAGTTCCATGTTGAACAGTAAAGCTATCTATAAGAGAGAGAGCTTCTTCAACACTGTAAGAGTGCCCTCTTTAAGCACATAAAGGAGGCATTCTGGTCTGAGCCTTCCCAAACATCTCAACACAAGTTGCAGTGCTTGTATTTTTCATCATGCATCTTTTACATTTCCCATGACTTAGGTCCAGGAGGTGGCTAACTTGCAGAATTCCAGACATTGCTGGACTACCACTCTCATCATTCCTGACTACTGGCCATGTTGACTGCAGATGAAGGTAACTGTCACCTGACAAATGTTGTTGACCACCAGGTTTAGTCACTCCTGCTTTAAGGAGTCAGAGAAGAAACATTTTTGGAGAGCGGGGTGGATAACAGCTCTATTTATTTCTAGCTCAGACGCCCTGCCCCAAAATTAACAAGGGTCAATGCTGAAACTTCCAACTCCAAATGCATTCTGGGAATAGAAAAGGGAGCCTAAGCCACGGTCAACTGTTTATACATCACTGGGGGGGTGGCACTTACTTGACATGCTTTTGTGCACTCTTGAGAGAGTCAGTGATGGTTATGAACCACTACCACAAACAAAAAATGGCATCATGTTGCTTGCATGCAGTTCTTTTTTCTGGGGGGACGCATCCGCCTAAACATTTTGTGAATCTAAGTCTGGCCTCACTGAGGGACAGTATTTCAATATGAGTAGGAAAATGAGGAGTACCCCTAAACATATTTTTGGGGGGAAAGCACTGCTTGTGTGATACAGATTTCATAAATAAACTTGAGAGGGTTTCTTCTTCTACAACTGTCCTTTCTTCTTTGTTAATATTCCGCAAATATCACCTATTTTATTTAGTACATTAGTCTCTATTCCGACCTTCATCCTAAGTACAGCATGTGTAAACACCAAATTTAAAACAGCAGTTATAGAAAAAGAAAGCAGTAATCTATTAACACAAGATACAATGGTCAATCGCACCAACTTAAGCAGCTGGGGGGGGCAGGTTTTCAAATGGTATGTATGTTGGCACCAACCTAACCTCCAAAGGGAATTTTTTCCACAACCTGGGTGATATTATTGAGAAAGCCCTTTGATGGGCAACACCAGTTCCCCAGGCATCACTAAATATATCTGTCTTAATGAAATTAATCTCTTAACAGAAGTATTACAGTCATGGATTAACTGCCTTGCTTTTTACTGATGAATCAAGTCACATTTAATCAGTTGGCAGGCCTAAATCACAATATCAAACCCTCCCCCAGTACAACAACTTGTATTTATTAATTCTGTACAGATGGCCAACCTAGTTCAAGAGTGTGACCCATAAATCTTGCATCACACTCTATGATACTGTATTACACAATTACCGTTCTCTCGACCCTGATGACAGCACTTCTCACTTTGACTTTGAAACCAGAGTGAAGAGCCCACTTCATAATATTGGAAGGGCGCAGCCTACGGAAACCACACAGCTCCCTTGTTGGCACTCAAAAAGTCCCCCTTTGGAAGAGCACAAAGCACATGCTTAAAAACTCAGATTGGAGGATAGTTTTGGAGGTACATACTCTGCACTTGACAGCTGACAAAAAGAGTAAGCAATTCACTCTCTGACGTGGGTTAAAGAATTGCAGAACACCAATGTATAGATTCAGAACTAGATAAATATTAATCTACTTTGTTATAAAACATAATAAACATGCTACCTTGTAAGCCAGCGTGGGGAATCTCTGGCCCTGGTGCATGTGTGCATGCAGAAACATCTGACTTTTGTGTGTAACCTAAGGTAGATAGGTTAAAGCCACATCCATTGCTCTGCCCACTTTTGCCCTGGGCCCCACTCTGCCTTGGGTCTCGCTTACAACTGGCATGCAGACCCCTAGATACTTCCCATATGGGACACAACTCTCAAGAATTCACCACCCCTGTTGGAGGCAATCAGCAAAGGCTTAAGAACCAAGGCAGATATAGGCTCAGACTGCACACATTAAACCATGGTTTCTTGAACAAACCATGCTTAAGCCAAATGATGTTCAGCAGACCATCAAAGAAACTATGGTTTGCTTCATTACAGTGGACGCTCGGGTTGCAAATGTGATCCATGCGGGAGGCACGTTCGCAATCTGCAGCATTCACAACCTGCAGCGCCACATCTGCACATGTGCAGGTCGCAATTCAGCACTTCTGCGCATGCGCAAAGTGCAATTTAGCACTTCTGCGCATGTGAAAGCACTGAAACCCGGAAGTAACCCGTTCTGGTACTTCCAGGTTCAGCGCGGTGCGCAACCCGAAAACACACAACCTGACACGTCTGTAACCCGAGGTATGACTGTATATAGATTTGCTTCTACCACACCTACTTCCCACCATCAGCTGTCTCTGTGCCTTAAGCATCACCCAACAGTCACTGGCGCCTTCTATTCCCACCAGAAAAAACATCCACACTCCTTTTCAACCTGTCGTTTAACCCTTTTCTTCCACTTCTTCACTCTACAATCACTTTCTATTTTTCATTCCCCAAACCACCATCACAATTTTTGAAGCAGCCATATTTTCTCCCCTTGAAAAGCTGCTCACATTTAAAGGAGGCACATTCCCCAAAATTGTTCATTTGCCAACCAAACCAACCAAGCACCCAGCAGCGGAAATGCCTGCAAAAGGAACAGCTCAAAGAAATTCCTGTTAAGTTTTCAGTACCAGCGCATTATGCAGCTGTGAATCAAAGAAGGGTGTGGCGGATTTGGGGTGGAGGGCCCTGTTACCAAGCTGTTAGCAGTGATGTCAGCTTCAAGAATAGCACCAGTGAGCGGCTGAGCATTGAAAGCAGCATAGTTTTCCAGTCGCTCTTGTCCAGCATTTCTGTTGCTTGTTGGACAATTTGGGTGGGGTGATGAAACAAATCACAGATATAAACTACTGTTAAAAGAGGAGCCATGTTCATACATAACTTCAAGCTATAGATGTCAGTAAGGCAACAATGAACCATGGCTTATTTTCACAAACCATGGTGAAAGAACAACAGATAAGGCCCCTGTGCTAAGCTATGTTTTATTAGCATGACATGCTAACCAGGTCAAAGGGGTGCTAAGGTCCAAAAAAGGCCATCAGTCCACCCCTGCTGCCAATGCAATGCATCCACTAATAAATAAGTAGCCACACAGTCTCCACATCAAAACCTCTAATGAAGAAAAGTTCACCAAACAATCTGCAGCATCAAGATGTTATTCCTAACATTTAGTCAAAATCCTCTTTCTTGTAATTTGGACATGCTGGTTTTGAGCCTACTCTCTGGAGATAGACAGCCCTTCAAATATTTGTATATGACTCTCATATCACATTATTCTACTGACTGAAATTTTCAACCAACAGGTATCCAACTTTCTGTTTGGAGCTAGATGGGGCTAGAACACAAAAGCCAGTGCGTAGGCAGATCCAGGGAATGGAATGGTGAACAGAAGAGTACATCCACCTGGCAGCTGTTGCTGTTTAATTTGTAGTTTTAAATTTTCTGTACTGGTTTGCATGGCTCATGTTATTTTAAGTTGTACTTTTTGTCTCTTACTCCTCTGCGAGCTGTTCTAGGAACATAAATCCATGTTGAAGGAGCAGGATATAAATTATGTAAAAGAGGGTATGTGCAAGATCATTGGTTTATTTCACTGGTGGCCCCGAAACCTCATTGCTTTCCATGACCTATTATTTGCCCAGAGCAAATAATCTGGGGTTTTTGCCCCCAGGAGTGCTTTTCATTAAAGTAAAACAAAATGCGCTCCCACATTCAATACATAAATATTTGGTTCAGAGGGCACTCGATTATGTCTATGTGGACTACTGTACAAGAAAGCCAACAGCCTCATCAACTCATTGAAGTGAACATCTTTGGTACCCTAATACAATGTTTACTGTTTCGGTGCACCACCACTCCCTCCCACAGCAGGCTGATTAATAATTATGCACTCCGAAAGTAGATAGGCCCTTAAGGAAATGAAGCCAGTATACCTCAGTAGACCAAGAGTTAGGCCTGGAATTAAGCGATCTGGGCTCAAAGCCTCCCTTAGCCATACAGTTCAGTGGGTGACCTTAGGCCAATTATTGTTCGACAGTGGAACGGTTTCCCTCTCCCGAGGTTGTGGTCTCTCCCTCCTTGGAGATTTTTAAGCAGAGGTTGGATTGCCATCTGTCATGGATGCTTTAGCTGAGATTCCAGCATTGCAGGGAGTTGGACTAGATGACTCTCAGGATCCCTTCCAACTCTTATGATTCTGTGATCATACCTCAGCGCGACATTGATTTTCAACTGGTGGGCCTAGACCCACTACTGATTTGCAGCCTAATGTGGGTAACAAAAGCAATGCTATCACAACGAAAATATATGGGTTTTAAACACTAATCAGTTGGTCCCCAAATCTGTGTTTGGGTCAAAGGTAGGCACTGGGTCTGAAAAGGAGTCCTAAGTTACAAGAGGCTTGAGCTGCAAATGCTATGCAAATCATCTTGGAGGAAGGGCTGTATACGGATGAGATAAATAAATAATGTAAAAAATCATAACCATAATTATATGCTGTTTAGGGAAGACAATTACGGATTGTGCATTTCAAGCCATAAAATGAAAGCGGGCGGGCAAGAGAAAGAGACTACTTATCTCTAGGCACATACGAAGCTGGCAAAAAAAAAAAAAATTGACTGACAGGCTTAATTAGATCTTAATGTAATGTGCAGATAGTCGTTAGCAAGCATTTTTCTCAAGGAGAATGAAAAGACAAAAAAAAAAAGGCAGCAGGCACTTTATTAACTTACTTTGGGGTCTGCGCACTTGAACTTTAACCTTTCCACCATATCTAGCATGGCCACCTTCAGGTCCACATGTTCTCTGTTCTGAAAGACAAAGAGGGCAACGGTCATGACTCTTTTCAACTCTACAAACGCAACAAGGATTTCCACAAGACAGCTTGGAGGGGGGAAAGGAGGGGGAGCACCAATCTTTCAGCACTTTCTACTAGCTAAGTTGCTATGAGCCCCTGAATACATTCACTCATTCTTCTGGGACCGAGGTTAAGCAAGCAGAGGTCTCCACGAAGAAGAAATGTCTCTGCCAAGAGCACTGGGAAAACTATTGGAATGAAAATTAAATGCAATTGCACAGGCCAAATCATTCACTGCTTGTGTCACATGGCTCAGCTTCAAGCAGGCTCAAATCCTGTTAGATGCTCAGCATTTTTCACCTCTCACCGAAGTAAAAAAGGCAGCCATCTGCAAGGGGTGACTCAGTACCCTTCAGTGTAAAGGCCGTGCTGAGAATATGCTAGGCAATGGTGACCTGGCTCCATGTTTCATTTATTTTCTGTAATTGGTATTGGCCGCCCGATAATTTAATCCTGCACTTCCGTGCTTCCAATTGTAAGATGGAGCAGACGGAAAGAACTAATTAAGGAAGTAATCAAGAGTTCACACTTCAAGAAAGGCACAAAGCACAAAGCACTTGTAGAATCCCGGGAATATTTGTTACTTTTGCTTGAACTATCCTCTCTCCAAAACTAAATTGCAGCTCATAGCTAAGGGATGGGGGAGGCCCCAGTGGTGAAACAAGCAATTCAGAGAGGCACACTTGGACTATTTAGTATTTTTCTGTCCTTCCTAACATGACTTATGGTTTAGATTGCCTTTTTCTGATTGCCTGAAAAGAGATTTTGAATTTTATCCTCAGTATTTGTCAACCAAAACTTAAAGATCCAGCATTAGCTCCTGAAAGATATTTTGGACTTTTCAGTGTCTATATAAGGATGTCATGCTAAAACAATGTTTTATCATGATGGAACAAGATTAGGGTTGCCTTCCCTCGTTTCCTCTTCAATACAGCTGAGGAGCTGTTCAGAAGCTTTCACTTCCATTTTCGATTAGTCACACCCTGCCGCGTTGTCTGACTCTGGCAAGCTGCAGTTAGTTTTAACGCTGGTTTGTTGAAACAAGCCAGCTTCAAACCACGACTTACAAAGCTGGCTTGTTTCCACTAATCACATTTAGATTCATCAGAGTTTAGGGTTTGGGCCTAACAGTAAACCAAGGGTGAGGAAGCTCTTCAAGCCTAAGGGCTGCCTTCCCTCATATGCAACATTCTGGAGACCATGTGCTAGTGGCTGAGAGGCAAAAGTGGGCAGGGCTTGAAGCAAAATAGACTGGAGCAATGGATGTGACTCTTAACTTTGTGCAGAAGGTTACACTCCAGCCAGCGTTTGAATTTAGCCAGGCGCAAGGTGCATTTTGCACCTATTGGCCACCTGACACCAAGTGAAGTTGCCAGGGCGCCAGGATGGCACCTGACGTTTCCACCATCTGGAGGTGCATTCCTGGGGGGCATTTAATCTTTCACACACTAATATATCCCATCCTGAAGAATTCCATCTGCTATATTTTATCTGCACAATCATAATGAATTATAGGAACCAAAATGTATTGAAAAATATGACTTTTGAGCTATCTGGCCCCAAAATAAAGAGGTCCCGGGCCCTAAGGAAGACAGACTATCCTCCACCAGGGCCAGGGCCTTTTCAGTGATGGCTCCAACCTGGTGAAATGCTCTGTCCCATGAGACTGGGGCCCTTCAGGATTTAACCTCCTTCTGTCGGGCCTGTAAAACAGAGCTGTTCCGCCTGGCCTTTAATTTGAATTCAGCCTGATATTTTATTTCCCTTCTCTTCCCTCCCCCTCCCTTTTTATGAAGATCACACGCTCTGAGACCCCACAGCTAATTCTCCCCTGGCCTCCTTGCTGGCCCAAGTAGGACCAATTCAGCCAGCTAGCCCGGGGGATTATCTAATTGATTTTCGATTTTTGAATTTTATTGTTATTCGTGTTTTTATACCGTATTTTATGCCGTTTTTATAATTAAGTGTCTAAAAGTGTTTTAAATTTGCTGTTAGCCGCCCTGAGCCCAGTTTTTGAAACGGGAAGGGCAGGGTATAAATAAAAATTTATTATTATTATTATTATTATTAAAATGGCAACTAGATATGGCGACTGTAACCCTGGTTTAAGGAGCCAGTCAGCACCTAGCTAATAGATCTGAGTTTCTAACACTGACTCCAGCCACACAAAAGCCAGAGGTTCTGCAGACACAAACAGCCCACCTCTATCTTCCATCCAGGCAAACAAGAGGTGTTATCACAGTCCAAGGGCACTTCCAGCCAGGCAAAAGCACTCTCGAAGAGTGTGGACCAGTGCTGGTGAAGGGCTGTGGTTTCAAAAGAGTCTCAAGGGCTGGGCAGAGAGGCCTGGAGGACCACATTCAGACTTGTAGGCCTGAGGTTCCCCACCCCTGCTTTAGGCTGCTGTAAACCAAAATCAGAAGCAAAAGCTTTTGAACTCCTCATCAGTTACACCAGGGAGAAAAAGGGGAGCATGCAGACATTCAAGAGGATAGGCTTCTTCCATTCATGAGAAACCATGGTTTGTGATGTCCAAACCCACTAAAAATAGGACACTTTTGCAAATTGTTATTCTGGGGCCTAGATAGTCACCGGGTTTGAATTCTGGCAGCTTTCCAATTCGACTACATCACGGTAAGCACTTCATCCAAGACAAATGGTCACCAAAACAATGATCTATTTATACTGGGCTGCTCCCAATGAAACACACTTTCCGTAGTTATACACAATTTGCATACACTTCCTCAGCATTTTCCAACAACAATGAAGGCAATCACTCCCACATCCATGTCCCCTGCAGGCTTCGAAAAACTAGCTGCCTGTGACTGTGAGGCAATACTTAAATATTCTCCTATGTATGGCTAACTCATGTATCGTAGCCAGTAAAAATGAAATCGGCTCCATATGTCCAACATTTGGAAAGATCCAAGTCTAAACATTTGGTTGTGCAGGCTTACATGTTCAGGTGTTTTAGAAAAATTAAATTCAATAATCTTACATCATTTCTGGCCCAAAAGAGCACCTTGGAAAGAAAGGTTGTACAAACCAAAACCAACTGTAAGGATTAAATGAGAGCTGCTCTAGGATATAGTCTAGGTGCATGTGCCAAGTCATTCTTGGTTCAAAACCTACCTTAGTCATGGTAGCCTGAGGCTAATAAATATTTTCTTAATAGGCTCCTCATCTGCCATACCAGAACAATATTGACTTGGCTTACAGGGTTGTTATAAGGGTTACTGAAATAATGTCTGTGAAACACTTCAAACATTGCCCCCCTTCCACAGCAAAGAATAAGGAGGAGGAGGAGGAGGAGAAACAAAGTTAATGAAATAAGAAGTTCAAACTTGCAAGGGAACTTGATTGTGATGACCTCAATATTACACAAGAGAAACTTCATTAGCTCAGTCAGTAGAGCATTAGACTCTTAATCTCAAAATTGTGCGTTTGATCCCTTTGTTGAGGAAAAGATTACTGCATTTCAGGGAGTTAGACTAGATGCCTCTTGTGGTCCCTTCCAAGTCTATGATTCTTTTCTACCTTATCCAACCCTTTATTCACTTAACACTGAATCTGCTTGCATAATCAGGAGGGCAATTCAAGATTGAGCTATACTAAGAGTGAGGACTATGGCAATGTCACATGACCATATGAGCATACAACATATATATCCAGATTAGGAAGAGTTATATGTCAGTAGGTTTCCCATGTGCCTGCAAATATGAGAATCTCTTGTCTAAATAACATGCAAAACTTGTCCCCAGCCAGCCTTGCAGAACTAATGTTCCACTTCCAGTTTATTATTGTCTGAACATCACAACATGTTGCATACAGCACTCAGACATGATACTCTGATTTGCATACTTGTGGAAGGTAGCCCATGTCTTCTAAATGTTGCATGATAAGCACCTCTTAAGAGGCAGCAGAACAGAAATAAGATGGTGGAATGAACTGTGCCACTTCAGACTGCGGGTAGAGAATCACAATTTTTTAAAAAATGTTCCTATGCGTAAAATAACTCCCAAATAGAAATCAGTACAGCGCAGAGAACTGAGTTGAAACACAGAAAAATTCTTCTTGATAGTTTACTACATAAAGGGATATGTCTTACCAACCCACTGATGAATTAAAAATCATCATAATCTCCCTACATACAATGTTAAGTACATTTCATTCCACCACTTCTTTCCAATTTACGCACAAAGTGTCTCTCCAGGAGCCAATTTATACAGAAGAAGCAAAAGGGCATTTCTTGTGAAAATTTCCAATGTATCCCGTGTCACATTTAAATCCACTTACTACACACATAGTGGCCTATTTTCATATAACATCATCATATCAGTGGCCTAAGCCACAGATCTCTGGTGTGACCATGAATGAGGTGGGAAACAAACAGCAAAACTAACTTTGCATTACAAGTAAGCCAGCACTCATGGCTTGCTCCTCTTCAAGCAAACAGAAGAAAATTTGTTTGTGGTAACCCATAGTTTGTGTGGAACTGTGGCTTACTCTTATGTGCACGAACAGGGCCACTGCCAATACACAAATTGTTACTTGCAGCATGACAGTGAGAAGTGCAATGCAATTGCCCACATGGTCAACTACAAAGTCCTCCTCTTATTTATCAGCCACAAAGGGTGCTGAGGAATGGTTTGCATATTACTTTCCCCTTCAGTTTCCACATAAGGAAAAGGAGAAGAAATGGCCAAAGCTGCAAAGCTTTGAAAAAATGATCGCAGGAGACCTTCCTTACACACCAAACTGGCAATGCTTCTTAAAACTTGTTCATCAGTTTTGTGTGTTTTACAAGTATCAATCCAACCAATCCTCTAGACACCCACTTTTCCCACAGTCTTCCTGAATATATTGAGGGAAATGAAGTATTTCACCCAGAAAAAAACAAAAGGGGTTTTTTGTTGTTGTTTTTTAAATAACTGAAAGCACAGTATTCTGTGGGCACACAGTAAAGATGCTGGAAGTTAAAATAAGTCCCGCATCCCCCACCCCCATCTATATGCACTGAGTCCTTTTAAAAGCATACAAAGAACAAGTGGAGTCTGTTTCTCACTGGAAGTTGCAAGCCTGCAGAATACCTCCTCCTCCCCCAAATCTATTTTGGCAGCTGGAAAAGTTAACACCATCATTGAAACACCTCCTACTGTTCTGCAAACAGCTACTTTTTTCTAGGGATCGCCCAAAAACAAACTGCTTATGTTTGAGAGAAAGCCTAAAATTAGACATATCAGCTGTTCTTTGGTTTGCATGGAATATTCTGTAACAGCAGACTATGGCAATGTTGGCCTCTCAGACTCTGTTTCCTGCCTGCACAAGAGGAAATAGACACATTCAGCAAGAGAATGGGTAGCCCCTGAAAGCTACATACTACACCAGGGTCAGCAAACTGTTTCAGCAGGGGGCCAGTCCACTGTCCCTCACACCTTGTGGCGGGCTGGACTATATTTGGGGGGGAATGAATGAATTCCTATGCCCCACAAATAACCCAGAGATGCATTTTAAATAAAAGGACACATTCTTCTCATGTAAAAACACGCTGATTCCTGGACCATCCGTGGGCCGGATTTAGAAGGCAATTGGGCCGGATCTGGCCCCCAGGCCTTAGTTTGCCTACCCATGTACTACACAGTCAATAGCAAGCCGTTTCTATTCAGAAAAGAATAGGTCAGATGTTGCCAACAAGCCAGGATAAGGAAGTGATGTGTTAAAATTGGCTTATAATCCTGTTGTTTAGAAACCATTGACTACAGTTCCCAGTTTGCATGTAAAAGGAAGCGATGGTTAAGTCCAGCTTCTTGATTTGTTTCCCTGTTCGTAGGAGGGAGCTGGATGTGAGCACATAGCATATGTGCACAAGGTTCCTATGGTGGTGTACACTTAGCAGATGCCAAGATAACAATAGCTAGTGAGCACTATTGCCTTCACACCCTGTTTGAAGGCAACAGGATAATCACTGCAGGAAATGGGACACTAGGATAAATGTACCGCAGGGCTCTTATGTTCTTATTCCCAAATACCAAATGTATTTGGCAAAAACAAGGGACAGGGATTGCAGTAGCAACATACATGGTTGTCAGGCAGCAAGCAAGTTCCAAACACAGTGAAAGCAACAGCAAGGGATACATTTTAATCCAGATTTCCAGTGGTGACAGCTGCATAAAGCCAATTCTGAAACCACCTTCCCCGCCCCCTAAATTGACATGCCTTTCTCAGCTGCTTGATGGGCAGGAAATCAACATGTGTACCTCTCCTGAGATAGTATTCAGTTATAGGATGAGCTGCTCCCATTGAATTTTTCCTGTCATAGCAATGTGAAATGCAGACAGGCTCTTTCAGGAAGGATGGTAACCTTAGCAGAAGTATACCGCTTCCACCTGGCTCTATAGGCATGGTTCTTTACAACAAAGTTAACCCAAATTCCTTACTCAAGGAGATTCCCTCAAACTTCTTCCACTACATGTTGTTGTTGTTGTTGTTTAGTCGTTTAGTCGTGTCCGACTCTTCGTGACCCCATGGACTAGAGCATGCCAGGCACTCCTGTCTTCCACTGCCTCCCGCAGTTTGGTCACTACATACTTCTGGTCAACTCTTCAGAGCTACTTTCTAATAACTAAGGATTAAACTCAACAGTGCTCAACTCAAGGCCTGTATTGTTGTTTCAGTTTTTTGTACACCGCTTGGAGATTTCCCCCCCATATATTAAGTGGTATAGAAATTAAATAATCACTCAATCCCTGCAGGACATGATCCTCAGGGCTCCCACTTTGCCATCAATGGTCTTGTTGAGGAGAACCATTGCAATCATAAAGTCTGCTTACTGCAGGGAGCGAAAGGCAATTAACCAATTAACTGTAGTTCTTTCTGACCATAGCGCCACAGAAAATATGCATTCAACAACCTTCTGGTAAACAGAAAGTCGCTAACAAGGCGTCTGAACGCACTTTCTGCTTGATCGGCTGGGGAAAGCACTTTTAGAGCCTGTTTATTAAAAGGAGAAACGGGCCATCAGAGACTTCCTTGCCCCGCCTCCACTTCTGCCACATCCCTTTCCGCTGGCCCCCGTCCTTCCTCTGCAGCTGGACCAAAGCTCCCGTGACTCTCCGAAGCGGCAGGGGAAGGGTGCACAAGCCACAGCACGCAGTCAGAGGGGTGGGACTGGTGAATTCTGCTACCCAGAAGAACGAACACCCGATAAACCTTTCCAGCGCCCAAACTTCCCAGTGCGCTTATGAACGCGCCTTCCGAAGTGGTCCCCGCCCACAGCCCTTTAACAAGTGCGCTTTCCGGGGTGCCATGCTGCCAGCATCCAAACCAAAGGAGCGCCGCTGGCTTTCGGGCACCACGCACTCCTAGCCCACCTAGCGCCTGCTCAGGATCCTTACCCGGACGGCTTCGTAGGCGTCGTTGAGCGTGATGATCTCGTGCTGCTGGTGGGAGCCCGAGACGGCGCACAGCACGCAGATGATCTTCTCGTGCTCCTTGCAGTACAAGCTGAGGTCTTCGCCGTGCTCCTCGCACTTCCTGCGCTCCGCCTTGCGCTCCCCTTCTGCGACCACCCGCTCCGGCTCCGCGGCCTCCCTGCCCGCCGGCTCCGCAGCGGCCACGGCAGCCGTCCGGTGGGCGCCGTACTTGCGGCTGTGCTCCTGGGCGTGAGGCCCGCAGAAGGAGAAGCCGCAGTCCTCGCAGGCCTGCACGGCCCTCTGCGCCTCGTCGGGCTCGCACACGTCGCAGGTGCCATCTTGCAGGCAGTCCTCGCCGCTCGCTCTCCTCTCGGAAGCCATCGCTGGCCGAAGGCAGGAAAGGCCCTTCGCTGGCCGACGCTGGAAGGGATCAAGTGGGCGGGGAAGAGCAGGACGCCCGGGCCGCCTCGTCGCCTGCAAAGCGGAGCTCGCTCACCTCCTGCGACAACTGTCCAGCCTTGGAGACTTGGAGCTCTGCGCTGCTGTTTTGCTTTCGTTTGCAAAAGCCACCTTTCTTTCGGGTCCCTGTTTGTTTCCTTCCAGCTTCTTAGCAACTTTGGGCCAAGATCTAACACACATACACACCCAAAACAAAATCCCTCCCAGTGCACGCTTTTATCTTAAGGGCACCCCCTTGGTTCCGCCCCACCCCCCGCTTTATTCCGTAGCAAGCGCGCTAATTTCGCTTCTGGAGCGCAGGGCCCGTGTGAGTGTGCTTGTGCATGCGCGTGTTTAACTTCCTGAGTCACTTAAAGCGGCGATGCTTTTGCTCCTCTGCTCTTGAGGGGCTACGCGGCGCGCATCGCGAGCGCGGCCAAGCCATGGTGGTTTGAAAAGGGATTTCCTCATATGGGATTCATTAAGGCCTCTTTTTTATATAAAAAAGGAAAAGAAAAAAAAGAGATTTCCTCTTGTGGTGAGGAGGAGGGAAATGCGCGCGCGTTTCTGTACCCGGTTGAAAAGCCAGGCGTATTCATTGGGAGCGGAGCCTCAAGCAGCCTAATAACCGGTCTGGCAATAATCAGCAGAAGCTCTTTGAAGTCGAGAGAATGTTTTCTTTTTCCCACTATTGTACTAAGAGGAGATAAAGGAAAGAAGCAAATTGGCTGGTTCTCTTTCTTGGCTTCAGGGTGCTTTGAAAACTAGGATTTGCCATTCCAATAAGGAAGTTTTTCTTTTTCTTTTCTTTTTAATGCAGATTTGTTTAAGCCTCAGTTTGCAGCAAGTACTATAGCACAAATGTTTCTGATCAGGCTGTCCGCCTGGCCCCCAAGCCTGTGTTCCAGAGGACAAAGGAGATGAACCGTGGCAGAAAAGGTGCAGGAAAGGGTTAACTGGCCAGCCATTCCCACAACTCCTTCTGTCACTGAGTTCAGTGAGTTACTTCCAAGTAGCAGAGTAAGGGCTAGTGTGTAAGTCCTATTGCCCAGTTACCAGAGTTGTACCCACTGAACTCAGGAGATCAGCCATTGCCAACCAGTTGTTCTGGATTACAACACCCATCACCGGCTGCACTTGCAGAGGCTGATGGGAGTCGTGGTCCGAAACATTTGGAGGTGGTCAGATTTGCAAAGGCTGCAATAGAAAATAATACTTCTGTATTATATTATAATACTTCTGTATGTTTGCGTGGGCTAAATATATATATATATATATATTGATAAATAAGGGCTCTAAATGTTTACATTGTTGATTTGTTGCCTCAAGCAGCAAGTGTGTTTCAAAGAGGTAGTTTATAGCAGAAAAGTTGTGTTTTGGTCAACCTTTCAGCCCCTCTATAGCTAGAAAGTTAATTTCAGTGGCAAACCCAGCATTATATGATCTGAGATCATAACATTTCCGTTTATGGTAGCCAGGAATGGATTCAGCGCTGACTGAATTTAGTTTGGCTCATAATTAAACGCCCAAACAGTTTGCAAAATTGCTACAGCAACTCTGCTCTGCTTCAGATTACTTGAACATGAAAACATCCCATGGCGATTGCTGGTGCGTGACTTGCCCTGATGTTACAGCGGAGCCAATAGCATCAGGAAATCAAACAAAACTCAGGAAAAACAACTTGGCATCTGCACAGTGCCTCATATGTCATGAAGCAGATTTGCCAGTCAGAGGTGTGCCAAAATTGCACCTGCTGGAAATGCACAAGTATCAAAGATACTTGGGCAGTTGTTTGATTTGCCACTTATTATGAAATCTATGTTTGTGCCTCTTCAACCATTGCATTTTGGGGGGTATACTCCTTCCCGGGGGTTGTTAGGGGAGGGTAGTACCTCATGCTCCTTCTGGAGTGGTTTGTCCACCTTGGGTCCCCACCCTGCACTCGGTTCTCACTTGTGGCTCCTAGAAGCTGTCAGCATGTGACAGCAGCCACACCTTGGGAAAAGGCTTCAACTGGCCAGCTAAACCAGGTGAGGGTAGTTGATGAGTCTCAAACTCTCAGTGAGATCAGGTGGTCCGCTGCATGCAAGGACAGGCTCCAACAGATTGAGAGGATGAGACCAAGAGTGGGTCCAAGGATCAAGAAAATGGTTTCTGCATGAGCTGTAGAGGGAAATGCGGGGTAAATGTTACATTAAGCAGTATGTAAGTTATAAAAATGAATAGGAGTTGCATCGCCAAGTGTTGTGGCTGCCTGCTTAATGTCAGCATTGGGGTTATTGTTACTGTTGCAATTCCTTTTACAGCAGGAGTGGGGAATAGCCTTCGGGTTAGCCTTACATGAATCTGCACACCAGTGATGGCTGAGGGAGAGGCAGAAGTGAGCGGAACAATAATTGTAAATTTTAAGTTTCTACAATACGCTAGTTTCTACACACACACACACACACACACACCCTTTTATCCTCCATCCATACAAGTGAGAGGCATTGCTGGAGCTCAAGGACATGTTCCAGCCAGGCAGAAACATTCAAGGGGGGTGCAAAGGAGACATGTGGCCTGGAGAGGAGTATATGGCTGGGGAGACTCCCAAAAGCTAGATAAGAGAGGCTTGGAGGGCTGAATTTGGTCCCTGGGCCTGAGGTTGCCCACCACTTGTGTTACAGTATAACATGGTGGGAAGAGAGCTCACAGTTTAGACATCAGAGGTGAAGCACTAGGAACTAGATGAGAGGGAGAAAACAGAATGAAGAGAAGAAGCAATGTGTTACAAAAGTTGAATGTCAGCAAATAAAAAACACCCAAATTTAACTTTGTTTTTGGATGTTATTAGACTTCATTTTGGTTGGAGATGAGGACTGGGGGTTAAGGACCAAGGAATGATCTGTAAACATCCAATCCTTTTGAGTGTGAGTTAAGGAGTAGTTAGTGATCTGGTCTAGAAGAAGAACATTGTGATTTTAATTGGGCTATTAAAAGCTTTTTGTGGGTATTTATCTTGATCTTTTATACATTGCTGCCTTTTATCTTCCATAGCTCAAGGGCCAGTTCAACAATTACTATCATAGCTTGTGAAAAATAGCTTTTGCAGTTCTACCCATTGGCTATTACAGACAGCTTCCTTATCATATGAACACATTCTCCCAGAATATATTAGGGATGGCAGGTCATAAACCAAGGCTCTTTGAAGCCCGAAAATTGTCTGCATTGTCACCAAGCTCCCTTCTATCATCCTGTTATGCCTTACGCTCTCAGGGTAGCTAATGGATTGGACCTATTGAAGGGGAGGTCTGATACTATCTCCATTAACTAAGACATGTTAGTCTTGATGGCCTTTGGTTTGAGGTATCCAGCTCTCACCTGGATAATACTGTATACACACAGTGGTCTTTAGTTTACTGCTAACTTGTCTACCAGTTGACCCTTCTTATATGTTCTAGCAGTATGTGGACCGAGAACTCCCAGAAGTGCAAGCTGGATTTAGAAGAGGCAGAGGAACCAGAGACCAAATTGCAAACATGCGCTGGATTATGGAGAAAGCTAGAGAGTTCCAGAAAGACATCTACTTCTGCTTCATTGACTATGCAAAAGCCTTTGACTGTGTCGACCACAGCAAACTATGGCAATTTCTTAAAGAAATGGGAGTGCCTGATCACCTCATCTGTCTCTTGAGAAATCTCTATGTGGGACAAGAAGCTACAGTTAGAACTGGATATGGAACAACTGATTGGTTCAAAATTGGGAAAGGAGTACGGCAAGGCTGTATATTGTCTCCCTGCTTATTTAACTTATATGCAGAATTCATCATGCGAAAGGCTGGGCTGGATGAATCCCAAGCCGGAATTAAGATCGCCGAAAGAAATATCAACAACCTCAGATATGCGGATGACACAACCTTGATGGCAGAAAGTGAGGAGGAATTAAAGAACCTTTTAATGAGGGTGAAAGAGGAGAGCGCAAAATATGGTCTGAAGCTCAACATCAAAAAAACGAAGATCATGGCCACTGGGCCCATCACGTCCTGGCGAATAGAAGGGGAAGAAATGGAGGCAGTGAGAGATTTTACTTTCTTGGGCTCCATGATGACTGCAGATGGTGACAGCAGTTACAAAATTAAAAGACGCCTGCTCCTTGGGAGAAAGGCGATGGCAAACCTAGACAGCATCTTAAAAAGCAGAGACATCACCTTGCCAACAAAGGTCCGTATAGTTAAAGCCATGGTTTTCCCACTAGTGATGTATGGAAGTGAGAGCTGGACCATAAAGAAGGCTGATCGCCGAAGAATTGATGCTTTTGAATTATGGTGCTGGAGGAGACTCTTGAGAGTCCCATGGACTGCAAGAAGATCAAATGCATCCATTCTTAAGGAAATTAGCCCTGAGTACTCACTGGAAGGACAGATCGTGAAGCTGAGGCTCCAATACTTTGGCCACCTCATGAGAAGAGAAGACTCCCTGGAAAAGACCCTGATGTTGGGAAAGATGGAGGGCACAAGGAGAAGGTTGGACAGTGCACAAGGAGAAGTTGGACAGTGTTCTCGAAGCTACAAACATGTCTGACCAAAATGTGGGAGGCAGTGGAAGACAGGAGTGCCTGGCATGCTCTGGTCCATGGGGTCACGAAGAGTCGGACACGACTAAACGACTAAACAACAACAACATATGTTCTAGACTTGCTTCTTCATGCACCCTGGTGTCCAGCTTGTCAAAAGTTGCCTGGTACGATATCTTTATGTTGGCAATTGTTTTCCATTGGTTTTCCAGATATTCTGGCTCTTTGTCTTAGGTACTTCTTGGATACATGTGTATTGGTTCCTATGTGTTAACCATCTGCATTGGTGTCATATCTATGTTCCTCTATTCTGATCCCATCTACATCTTGATGAGCCCTGGTTGCTGCTGCCCTGAATCTACTTGAGAATCCCACTTTCTTGGTACATGCAA